AAGTCTATCCTAATTGGGGTAATTATGGCAGATTATCATACTGGATTGGGCTAAGTATACTAAGTCTAAAGTTATCGGATTATGGTAAGTATACTAAGTCTAAAAGTCTATCCTAATTGGGCTAAAACTTCTAGACATACTGGATTGCTTCTCATAGTTTTCGTCCGATTGGTTGAAATGGAAGAATTTTACAGGACCCCGCCGGAATGGATTTTTCGTGGACAAAAAACCACCATCGGTTGACGAAAAAAAAAAACAATCCCGATTAGAACCAGTCCGACTTGATTCCAACACCCATATGCTCCATGTATATGGAATATTTACCAACATTTGCCCTAAAAATCACCCAGTTTTGTAGGGAAATATACCAGCACCATGGAGCATATGGGACACACGGAAAATCCCAGCCAGCCATGGTTCTTCACCAGTTTCCTGGACTTGAACTCGCTGCTCGCCCCACTTCCCATTTTCTGCGCTCTCGTCACATGGGGAGAACTTCCTAGCACCTATATGTTGATTGAATAAATGGACAACACTTACAACTGGAGTTTTTTCAAAAATGATCAAAATGGACACATCTCATACCCTCTGGTAATTTAACATAGCTATTGAAAATGACCATTTATAGTGGATTTTCCCAATAAAAATGGTGATTTTCCATAGCTATGTTAATTTACCAGAGGGTACTTCACTTAAACATACTTAAACCGGATCTTTTTCCTGATCTCATAAAATTGGCACATCGTTTTCGCGCCATATTCCTGTGAATGATTCTCCAACCCAGGTCGCCGTGAAATGGGGTGAAATCATCCACCTGAGCTGTCAACACCTGAGTTATTGCAGCATGTCACAAGCTGTCAACCTGGTGCATGACCTTGAGTTTCAACTTTGGCCCGAGTGCAGTGTCGGATTTTTTTCGTTCCTAACCTCTGGTAAAGAAAAAGAGTTGGCTATAGAACATGGATGAACATGGTTCATTGATAATTTACCTATCAAGTTTCAGGATGTTCAATTGCTATGTCAAAAATTACCAGAGGCTATACTTTCAAGATTCTACATGCTTTTTCCAATCATATTGTGACTGGTGGTTGAGCTGCCACTCAAATTCTGAGTCACTGAGATGATCTGACCAAACAAAGTAGAAGACATATTGGAAACCGCTCGCAACCAGCTGATTTTGACTTGATACATCCGCATGATTCGACCGGTAGCTCCTCTGTAACTTATCACCTACAATCACTTAGATTTGATGTTTCAAGGCCATACATATATATATATATATACATACATGTATATATATATATATATTAATATAATACATTATAATATTTAATACTATACAATAAAATACAAAAAAAAGTGTAGTGTAAAACAATATTTTATATGGTATAATATATTTACATGTATGTATATATATATATTATTCTATGTATCCCATTTGATCCCCCAGAAAAATGGTGGATTGACCAATGGCCGGTCCGAGAATATATCCCCTGAAATTTAGCGAAGAAGAAACCTGAAATTATGGTAGCTACATGTAGCTACCTCTAATTTAGGTAACTGAAATGGCTGTAAAAATTGGTGCCAGCATGATTTGTTAAGTTAGATGACTACACAATGCGCGTTGTAGGGCCGTGGTAAGGCGTTGTAATCCAGTTACGGTAGCCTTCAATCGAACATGGCGCTGGATAATTTCCTATTCATAGATAGATGAGTTCCCATATGTTCCCATTCAATATCTTGTGCTTTCCCACTGCCATTAAAAAGATAACTCATGGGCAAATTTGTCATTTTGATTGTTAGATCATTGACATTTTGGATAACTGTCAATCACACGGTTTTTTGTTGATTGATAATGTCCAATTTTTGACAAAACACTTCAGTAGACCATGGTCAACTATCTGGTCCTCCACAACATTTTTTTTTGCGGGTTATGGGATTATTTTCCACTACATATCCAAGGTAGTGGATGAAAATCATCCTTTTCAAAGCATGGCGCCCGCTTTCATAGTCATGAAAGATGTAAGAGATTTCCCAATATTCCTGAGATGGCAACTATAGTTACTAGTATTTCAAATGTCTTGAAGACGACCAATTGCCTTCACTTGGCTTGCAACATTGACTTGTATAAACATGTATAAACCACATCAGCGCTGTCACTCAGTGCGTCCTTTTTCTTCACCAAAACCGCGCTTCGGTTCGGATCGTGGACACGAAACCCCATGGAGATTTGAAGAAGTCCAAGGGTCTGTGTTCTGTGGCTTTAACTATGAAACAATGGGAAAGTTGCGGGCCGTGGGCCCACCAAAAAGATGGCTAAGATGATCTAAGATGGCTCAGTTCACTGGCTTAGCTATGGTTTATAGTAGATATTTCTATAGTTCATGGGTCAATCCAAACCAACTTGGCTATCTTGGGGCCGGCTACCTGGCAGCAATTGATTGGCACATATAGCATATGCGGATCAGATGCGTGCATACAAATATATGATTATAACCACACACAAGGTGGGCCACCCAAATCAGAGATTGTGTTATAATCCCCATGAACTACATATATATATATATTAATATATATATATATATTAATATATATATATATATATGTACATATTAATATATATATATACATATTAATATATAGATATGAATGTATATATATACATATATATATATATATTTATTCATTTATTTATTTACAGTAATATATATATATATATTAAGATAATATTATATATAACTATATGGCATAAACTCAAAGGTTTATCTAACGAACTAGACCAACTTATCCAAGCAAGTGGGGCACCACCGTGTACCAATGACATGACAAAAATTGCCGTTGATGCCAAGAAGTTTCAAGGATTTCTCAAACCCAGAAATGGGTTGTGTGTAGTACATCCCAACTAACCATTCCAAATCCCAACAAAAACATCGATATTTAATCTGTATGGCTATATAATCAAGATCAATCAAGTTTCTATAGGGAAAATCACCATTATTGCAGAAGTCCCAAGTCCTGGGTGAATGACCCATTGTTCATTGCCAAATCATCAAGTCACGGTGTGTCCTATCTACAGTAACTCATCAGTCTTTACACTGAAAAATCACCATGTTTCATGATATTTCATGATATTTCATCTCCATGTATCATAGTTAAATCACCCATGGACTCATAGTGAATTCCATCTGCTCACAACTAAAAACACTTTTCTTCAGATTAAATCACCATTTCTCCAAACTTCATCCAGGTTTCCCCGCTACGCGATGCTACGCGGCACTACTTCCCCGCTCTACGCGCTTCATCAAGGCTTCCTTCGCTAACTCAGTGCGGTTCACCTGGCGCGGGCATCAAGGCTTGGGTCAAACACTGGAATCCCGCTCCAGACATTAGATATTGTATGTGTATGTATATATATATATACTATATTATATTAAATATATATATATGTTGTATTATATATTACATATATAGTATATATATATATTACATATATTACATATATTACATATTATATTATATTAAATATATATTATATTACATATTATTAAATATAATTATATATTATGGGACTCTTCTGTTTACTGTTTTCCCGCTTTATTTAAGTGTGGTTCCTTCTTGATTTCACATATGAACAACTCATCCTTTGAGCCTGAAGAAAACATGTTCAACACACATCGAATATGCCATGGGGTGCCTCAACTTTTGCTTGTTGATTTATGTTGATTTATGTTACCCCATCCGACTATAGCTACAATCACAAGAAACTTTAAACCCGACTTGATCTAGTTATTCTGAACAAACTTTGGCTACCACGTTGTCTGATGTACATATCTATAATATATATATATATTAGAATACAAATCTATGTATATATATATGATAAATTGATCTAAACATTGAATTTAAATGGATATCATTGGGGATGCCCAGAATGTAGTTTATCAATGTAAATCAGTAGATGCAACATTAATTAAAATAACTCATCCCACTATACAGAGTGGTATATCCAGCACAAATCCAACGGTTAACCCTCCTACACCGCGCAGATGCATTGAAGGCTTCCGATCCCAAGAACTAAAGTCGTTTCAACTTCAAGTATTACAACAAACATATTCTACTATGTATATATCAATATTATATAATCATATCATACTACTCTGGTTGGTGGTTTTTCGTCACCCCTCTGAAACATGATGGAGTTTGTCAGTTGGGATGATTCTTCCCAATATATGGAAAAAATCAAACATGTTCCAAACCACCAATCAGTATTATATTCTACATGTGTATCAGTATCAGTATGTCTATAGAATGGCATGGAAACGGAAATCATCATCCGACCGTCGGCTTCTGTCTCGATCGAAGCCGCACGGCAGCCACGACATGAAGCCACTCCTTTTTGTCCATTTTCGCGCTGTACAAAAGGCTGAACTGGATCTATCAGGACAAGAAGTGGACACACTGCACAATGCCCACATCAAGGGTCAAAGCTTAAGGTCAAAATTTAGACTTAGAAATTTTGTTTTTTTGGGTGCAGTTCCAGTGAGATCTGCGTCTCAGAAAGTAGTTTCTTTTTTGGGCCCGGATGGGTATACCGAGTTATACCATGGTTATACCGAGTTATACCTTAAGTATTTTCCAAGCCTCAACTGCACCCAAAAAAAGCACATCCGGCCACGATTTCAGTGGGACGCAACCAACTTGACAGGAAAGGGACGCAACTGGATTCTTAGTGGTGCTTCCAATTCTTGAAACGTTCCCTTAAATCATCAACGCATCAAGTTGGATCATTATATATGATTGTATATGCACATATCCACGCAGAACATTATGTCATTATGTCTCAATTCCATTTCCATATGCTTGATGCTTAAAAGTTGACCCTTACATACATTATATATAATGGATATTAATGGATACTATAGTTTCTAATGGTGATATCCCTTGAGTTCAGCAATATCTATACACCAAGCGATGTTTAAACAACAAATCGCCCCCCCGAGCTACGGTGTGATTTCGCCATCGCTGGCCAGGGTGGAGGCATCAGAACCCACCTCCTTCGGCGTTTTCCGCGGCGTGGAGACAGCTACGCCATGAATGGCTGACACCAGCCACGCCATGCCTTCCTGGATGCCTGGCAAAACATGGCGAGACATCCATGAAAAATACTTGGGTTATAAGTTATAACTCACGTTTGACTGTGGATTATGGTGAGACAGCAAAGGTAAACTGTACTTAGAACTTTGGGGCATCAAAAGTAAAGTAATTATAGGAATGTATCGGAATAATTGATTTGTTCTTCATTTGTTCTTCATTCTGAACTTTTTCCATCATCAAAAATGGCAAAAAAAACATAGATATGTCTCTGGTTTGACAGCATGTCCAGCGCGAGATTTGGATCAACTCTAATCAACTCTTCTTTGGAGGTAGACAAATCCTGGCTTCATCCCATTTTATACCCATCAGCTGCTGGGAAATGCCAATTTTGCTGGACATGTCCAGTCCCAAAAACTACAGATTGACAAGCCGTGACAAACCATGTCTATGTGTATATATATATATCATATATTTATCAATCACTCACTGTTGCAAAATGATATGGCCATTTCATCTAGGGTCCTATACCCTCATCCCATCAGTCGGCAAAAAATCCTCCAACATCATACAGTAAAAAATGCAATTTCTATGACCACCTGGAAGCTCCAGGTGGGAGAAAAATCATGTCCTTGTAATTTAACATAGCTATTGAAGCCATGACCCAGTCGAAAGTTCGTGGATTTTCCCATTGCAAATGGTGGATCTTTCCAGTTCGTTATGTGGCTGTTTACCAGAGGGTAAATCCCCATTCATCACAACTTAAAAAATATTGAGGATCATTAACGACTATTAACCATAATGTCCTTGTCTTGCGCCTTGGTTCTTCAAGCAGCTGCTTTCGAAGATCTGCCACTTCTGTCGCAGAGTCTGCAGCTCTAGCGCTTCAACCAGTTCCGAGGCGCGTGCGGCGTGGGGGAGGTCTTGCCTCGGGGCGGGGGGAAGTCTAAGCGAATGTGGGCAACCCAATGCCATAAACCTACCATGACTAGGATGATTTTGAGGATGGTTTATAAAATTGGGTTTACCCCATTATACCAAAAAAGTCTATCACCCTTAAACAAGCTGGGAAGTCCCAAAGCAAAAATTATCCAAAACTGGGATTTAACCTTCCGGTATTCTAACAAGTCTAATATAGCCATGGAAAAGCACCATGTTTTTTTGTGTTAATCATGTACACGCCATTTTCCATCCCTATGTTAGATTAGCAGAGGAGTAAGTGAATTGGGATTGGTAAGTCAGCATGTGGAGTAGCCCTTAAAACAAACAAAAAGAGCCGATGGGATAATCGACAATCTCACGAATCAGGGTCCTGCAAGGAGGGCGGCGATTTTTCGCCGGAAAAAAACTGGTTGCGGACTTGGCAATACGGCTTGCGGATTCAACCAAGAAAACATGAGGCAGTTGTTTAAACCGATCTTTGAGAAGAGGAGTTGACGAAACATCTCACCAAGCATTACCACTAAACCACCAATCAACTAATATGAATTAGTTGGATCAAGGCACTTGATCATGAGGAACAGGAAAATCCATTGGCTTTTACCAACACATTTTACAGAAACTCCTGCTGTTCCTGGACCCTGACCAGCTGCTTGTTGGCAAAGATTAGCATTGGCAAATCTGAAAGCTGATCTTCCATGTAGATCTTCCTGACGCGTGGCATGGCATGACGTGGCACTTCGCAAACCCAAACCATCCATTTCTTTGGCGCGTTGTACGGGGACGGGAAGTAGGAGAGACACTAAAACCAAAACCACCTGGAAAAATATGAGCTCAACCACGGCATGGCGAACTCCATGACTGATCCTTGTGGTTTTCACAAAACGCAAGCGTTGGCCAAAAGACATGTTGATCCTGGTCCAACAGGACGGACTCAGCGATCGCCCAGTGAAATGAATCAGCTTAGCCATGGCATCATGGCCTGTGTTGATCGAATCCTCCATGAACGAAGCAATATACAGTCAGATGTCCCAAACAAACATTTGTTTGGCCAATTGGAATTATTCCAAAAGATTCCGGAACTGGATGATTCATTGAATCCTAAGCCATCATGTGAGCATTTGTGATTATGATTTGGCCAAGATAACTGATCCACTTTCTACCCTGCTCAATCCTTCCCGAACAAAAAAAAGGTATAATCCCATCCCCCTAATATTCAACAAACCCAAATATGTGGTTTCAAGCCCTATTAAACCATGGTTTCTGGGGTGCGTTTAATTTAATATTAGGAGGAAGGGATTATTCATGAAAGGTCCTGATTTCATCCTTCACTTCCGGAAATCGTTCACGATCGTTGCTGTCTATCACAAAGATGACCTTGAATTTGATCAGTCAGTGCACCAATAAAAACATCCAAACACCTTCGCTATAGAGCGGTATGGGGAAAAAAAATTGAACGCTCCTTCAAATCAAAGATGGGGTCATTCCACACAGTAGATACCCGGCCTGGTAAACATACATAAAGAGCTATTGAAGCCATGGCCCAGTCGAAATAGTGGATTTAACCATGAAAAATAGCATGGTGGATCTTTCCATTGCTATGTTAAATTACCAGGCCGGGTATAAAGTAGGGCGTTAACCCATCTCCGTTTTTTTGAGGTCCAAGTTCAAGTTATTGGTCCAGTAATTGGATCCAAATAGCTTAGGTGACAAGGTGATTTCCTGGATAAAAAACAAAACTTCATCCAGCAGTGGTTTTAACCAAAACTCGTTCAAACCTGGGAAAAAGAAAACTTACCCTCTGGTGTCATATGGTGTCATCAAACCTGGGAAATGCTGGGAATGTTTGATCGAATTACATGCAGTAAATGGATGTAAATGGTGGATTTTCGCCACGTTATCCATGACACCAGAGGGTACAATGTGGGGCCGCCCAGTTGCAAGTATAGAATTAGACCCCCCCATCAACTAGTTCGTTATAAGTATTATATAAACCATATATAGTTATTGGAGTTATGTGGCCCCCAACTTAGCCATTTCAAGGCCTTTTACAGTGCCCCAGCATTGTCAATTGTCATCCCTTGTCATCTCCATCGACCAGTCACCGCATTTTTCTCCGCATAGAAGTGACGCCATAAGGGTCGAAGCTTATCACGTCCACCCACGTCCCAGGCGTCGATGCTGATCAGCTCGCAGCCGCCGCCGCCAGGGCAGAGCTCGGCATGTTCCACGTTGAAACCGATGGTTGGGATGGTCATCTCAACCTGAACATCTGCCAAGGTCTTCAGGCTTAAAAAAGGGGACATAATTGAACTATGATTCTATGATTATTTTTACATTGACATATATTGAAATGCCTTGAAATCGAGTGTTGATGTTTTTTGTTTTAAATTTACGATGCCTCACATTATCGGGGTACGGTGCAAGTGAACCGCCGAAAGTTGAGGGCCTTGGATCCAACTGGAGAAACAACATCCAAAGGTGAATCCTCGATGATGCTGAACACAACTTGCCTATCTACCCGGCCTGGTAATTTGTTACATAGCTATGGAAAATCACCATTTTTAATTGGAAAATCCACTATATATGGTCATTTTCAATAGCTATGTTAAATTACCAGAGGTAGGGCCCCTTCTTAGAGGGAATGATTGAAACCTTCAGTTTCTACAACAAACATGTTACTGCCAATTAAGTTATTTTGATTTTTCGTTGTATTGTGGTACAAAACTCAATTTTTCGAAGTTCCGCCGACATTAAAGTAAACCACAAAAAAACAAAAACATCATAGCACATCAATGTCAATCGGATTTATGGATAGTTCCTGATCCATTAATATTGGCGAAAGGCTATGGGAGGCTATGCGTGTCCTAACATGACGATCAGTCTCAGTTTGTCCCGAACGTTCCACCACCCAAATCCCCTGCTTATGGTGTGACTTGGAGGATCACCAAGTATAGCTGTTACATGCTGTTACATAAAACATTATAAAACCCATGTTTTTTATCCCTACGAATTAGAGACGACTTACCCAGGCTTATGATGATCCAATTTTGGCTGCCAGGGACAGCAAAAAACTGCAGGATGGTCATAGCTAGGCCATGGGATGATTCTTTGATCATTCCCATGGTGCCCCGTTGGAAAAAATGAATTGGTTCCAATGGTGACCGAAAAACCAAGCATAGTTAACTAGAAAATCTATACATAATCCCATATATAGTCTCCATAATTCTACGGTATAGTTCAATCATGTTCAATCTACTAATCTGCTAGTCCGACTAATCTACTAGATACTACAAAATAAGTTACATATATGCATATAATCACCAAATGAGTTAATCTATGCATAATCAAATATATATATTATATATATATTATATTAAATTATATTGTATAATAACCATCACAACCTTATTGAAAATCAACTCGTCTCCCAGCAAGTTAAGTCACCAACTTACCCGTTCGCCTTTTTGGGCTTCAACTTGTACAGCAGAGAGGTCTTGCCAGCTGCATCCAGCCCCACAACAAGGACCTGGTGCAACACGGGAAAGCGTTGCGCGTGTCCGAACTGGGGATGGATGTCGCACTCTCCGATCTTCGCAATATGGATAAATTGTTGCAATGATTCTAGATCAAAATGTTCGCAAGATGTTTGGGTTGATTAGCCTCCGGGTTTCTTGATCTTTGGCTTCAAAAAACGCTAGAAATTCACCACATTCACCATCCTAGCTTTGGACAGCCGAACAGTTGGGATTCAACTGGGAAAATTTTCTGCCAAAAATGTCGGCCCCCTTCGGATTGATGAAGCGGCTCGCAGCCACAGAATAACCACAGATACCCTCTGGTAAACATACAAAAAGCGATTGAAAATGGCCATAGAAATAGTGGATTTATCCATTAAAAATGGTGATTTTGAATAGTTATGTGGCTGTTTACCAGAGGGCATTGCAGAATCTCAATCATCCTTTGGTGGGTCAGACTTGTGAACAGCGGTTGGGTTGCTCTCCACTCATCACGATGCGATTTTGTTCAGATTACTATAGCTGGTTGGTGGTTGAGCTAGCCCTCTGAAAAATATGAAAGTCAGGTGGGATGATTATTCCCAACTGAATGGCAAAATAAGAAACATGTTCCAAACCACCAACCAGCTCTAAATCAAAGTCATGATTTTGGGTTCATACTCACATCAAGTTCTGGATATATCCACAATAAATCCTAGTCATGCTAGCTATAAAACAACTTGCAGTACTTGTCATTTGGCGGGCCTTCTTGTGGTGCGTTCAATAATCATTCAGCAAGCAGTGATCATATCCATCAAATTCCTCACTAGGGGTGGGAAGAGCACTGCTCCAATGGAGAGGTACAAGGGTGAAATGGACAAGACTTGAGAGGTTTTTTGTGGTCCAACACTCCAACACCAACACACTTCAGAACGAACGTCGCTGATTCAATACATGAGGCTAAAACCAATGAACATATGTGCCATCGTCAAAACATGGTACATGGGCTATGGTTATCCATCCTATATTGGGAATCAATACAATGGGTATTTTTTTCACCCTATTGATGGGTGTATGACCATCCCCTTCTATGAGAAAACAAACCATGTTTTGACCAGGGCACATATGAGTAATCATAGAGGCACCAAAACTATGTGTTGGGGTGCGAGTCCATCCCCATGTTGCCTGGATGTGTTGCAATCATTTGCTGGCTGGTTCTACATGGTTCTACCCTCAATTTGCATTAATTAGTTGCATCCTCATTTCCTGGAATAACCTCTGGTAAACGTTTACATAACTATTGAAAATCACCATTTTGTAGCTGGGTAAATCCACTATTTCAATGACCATTTTCAATAGCAAACTGTTAGTTTGTTTACCGGTAAGTGATCTCTTCGTTTCTAGGCTTCTATCCCCAGTGTCGGTTGATATCACCGTCTTTAAGTCATCTTTGCAGAAAGACCCCTGGCGTCATCTGCATACTTCTGCCTATCCTCGCTTCAGGCATTAACTGGCCTCTGGTGATTTGACAATTCTCATCAATTCTCTATGGAACATCACCATGTTTAATTTACTGGTTGGTGCTTTCAACCCCTCTGAAAAATATGAAAGTCAGATTGGATCATCATCCCAACTATTGGGGAAAATAAAAGCCATGTTCCAAACTGCCAACAAGTTAAATAAGTAAATCATGGCTTCCATAGCTAGATCATGCTAGATCACCCAAGGAATCATATATCCCCATGCAGGAAAAAAATCAGGAGTAAAAATAGTCGATACCACCCAGTTACGAAATGGTGGTGGAGTATTTTTGTTCCTCCAGAAATTCGGGGCATGCGATGATTTCATGGTCTTTGAACAAACTGAGTTATACACCACGTCAGGAAAAAAAGGTCAATATCAGACACGAATCCAACCAATGCGTACACCGAAAAGGCCACATACCTCAAATGATAGCGACTCATCCTTTACTGTCCATATCTATATACATCTTTACTTTACTAAAAAAACAACTAACAACAAACAGTTTGATTATTGATTAGATTTCCACCAGAAGAATAGTAGACAAGATGTCTTTATTCGCTCACAAGCAGCAAAATTCACGTCGTTAGAAGTCAGATAATGATCAACAAAGACAACATAATAAAACATAAAATATGTGTTCGAGGTCTTCGACTTGCAAAAATAATAAATTATAGGACTACTGTATCCAGTGATAGTGTTTTCCATGTGTCCCTATACCAATGGAGAAGTGCTCAAAACTCGCAATGTCATCCTTTCACACTAGTTGATGGCGACTCCCATAGTAAACCAGAATAAACCACATGGGTTGGTCTGAAACTTGGATAGCCCATCCTATCCACCAGTTTATCATCATAGTGCCTATTGAATTTGCATGAACTTGCCATATATTGGGGTTGTCAGGGTATACATTTTCAGTCACACACACAAATAGTATAACTGCTTTTGATCATCAACCAATCAACTTATCTTTAGATTTGTATATCATGTATCTAGTATATCCCCATATTTTGGATGGTGAAAAATATGATTAGGTAAGATAAGATTCCAATGTCATTGCCAATCAACCATCATATATCAATTACCCTTTGGTAAACCAACTAGCTATGGATTATCACCATTGTTTGTAGGTATTTTGTAGGTATTTGTAGGTAAAAGCAACGAGAAAAAATGGCCATGTTCAATAGCTAGCTGTTAAATTACCAGAGGCTGTTGAAATCGAGCTATTGAACATGGTCATTTTTGTCTCGTTGATTTGCCCATAAACAATCATGATTTTCCATATGATGTCAACCCTGGATTAATGACCCCCTGGGCTGTTTAATTGGGAGGGTACCTTAAAAAAGTATCAGATGAAATGACTATTGGGGAAGTACCCCGCCTTATCAGCTTAAACATGATTAAACTATGGTTGATTAATCCGGGGTTGACATTAGCTATGTTGGTTTACCAGAGGCCAATTGATAAAGGATGGTATTCCCATAGAATCCTCCCAGGGCCCGGTGAAGTGCGCCTGGCTCTTGCGTCGCGACGAGGAAATTCCCATTGCGAGGTTACCGAAAAAAAAAAAACGAACTGCCGAGAGACGCCCGGGGAGCACTTGATGCTGAGGTACCCTCCGATGTCAAAGGTAGCTGGCTAGAAAATCCCCGCACTCAATGGAGATTGGAAATTTAGAAACATTCAGAGTCTATAAATGGGCTATTTTCCAGCCAACCATTGACCCAACTGGGCCATTGTTGAGGGTGAACACTTGGTAAATATACCATGTGTATGTACATGGATAGGAAACAGAAGCCATGGCGAACCCAGGGAAGGCTTCATCTTAAGCCTCATTTGTAAGCGTCATTTGTAATGCCAAGTTAGGATTAATAATCCCCGCGGTATTAATCAACCCCCTCTGCCCCCAAAAAAAAATGTAATTTAAAAAAAGGTGGTCCCCCAGGATTAATAAACCCCCCCGATTAAAAAACCACCAGTGCTGAAATCAATTTTTTATCCAACAATTTTTATTTCCAATTCTATTTATTTCCAATTTGTTTTTACATTTTTTTTAATCATCATTGTTATACTTAAGGTTTAAGTTGATCATTGAAAAAATCAAAAAATGACTATTCCCCAAATGATCGATTTCTAATTAAAATCTTTATAAAAATCATCAGTTTGGATAGCTCCCAAAGGGTACCCCCCATAAGCCCATGTCCCTCATTAATAATAACCATGGTTTGCCCCCGATTAATCAACCACCTTTCTGATCCATGAGATTTTAACAAATCCAATAGAATTCTATTAAGATCTAATTGACGTAAGCCATGTCCAAATTTTTATGGTTCAGAGTTGCTTACTATTAAGGGGTAGTCAAGAAACTAGCCAGAAGGTACCCCCCTACCTACCGGGGGGGGTTGATTAATCCGATGTTGGCATTAGGTGACATCGGAGACATGCCCATATCATATCCTCATACAAACGGTTGGTGAACTGCCCCTGATTGTCAGGTTTGAACGCCCATGTTTTGGTTGAATACCCAATTATATAGATTGGTCTGAACATAGGCTACCCGCAAATTCCAGCGGTTTTTTCTTTCACAATGGCCAGAAATGGAGGCCAAATCCCCCATGGTCATTGATTTTCAGCTACCAAACCCATCTACCCCAAAGAGGTTTTTATATATTGTTGCTGATACCCTCTGAAAAACAGCCACATATGGAAAGATCCACCAGTTTTAATGGGTAAATCAACTATTTCGATGGCCATGTTCAATAGTTTTTTGTATGTTTACCAGGCCGGGTATGTCCCATTCGATGCCCAAAAATATCACCAAGCTGTGCTGATTTTTTGGGATCCTTGGGGTCCCATCTGAATCAGAGCCAGTCATGGGATTACGATGAAATTGTCATAGGATTATATTACTAAATCCCATTGATCTTGATACATATCCATGGGATTTATAAACAACTATTACTAGTAATCATACATAATTAATGTTCTGGTTGGTGGTTGAGCTACCCCTCATGAAAAATGATGGAGTTCGTCAGTTGGGATCATGATTCCCAACTGAATGGAAAGTCATTCAAAATTCCATGGTTCCAGTCACCACCAACCAGTGTTGGATTACGAATTAGTCATCAAATGTCATCAAACCCAGCTAGCTTTTCGCCATCGCCATCAGGGGCCCCTTTAATTTTGGATCCCCTGAATTTTCATCACTACCATCTGGTTATTTGTTACAATTCGCCATTGAAAGATCCACCCATTTTTAAGTTCGGTAAACCATCTATAAATGGGCCATTTTCCATGGCTATGTTAAATAACCAGAGGGTATATCAATTACCATGGCTATGTAACAAATAACCAGAGGGTATCTCCAGCTGCCCGGGGTCCACCTCCTTGTCCCAGTCCGGATTCTGTGGATCCAACACCTTGCCCTCTCCGAAAGCCTCCAAGGCCTGGCGTACTCCAAGTCATAGGATTTTTTTGGGCTGTCCAAAAGTTCGGGAAATATGGGATACCAAGAAAATCGTTTTAAGACGACAAGAACAACAACAACAACAACATGAGGAAACAAATATCAACCGCAAGATATTGGGATGCTCTAGTTTCAAACAAACCTATATTTATCACATGTAAAAATCACCAAGTCAGCAGTGTTCATAGCTGTTGCTTGAAGCTTATAGGGAATTACACTAACTTTACCTAAAGATATATAGGGATTTACACTAACTAAGTAATTGATATATTTTGATATATAAGATTATTGATCCCCCATAATTGATAGTGGGGAAGATTATTGATCACTGGGGAATTATCAAACTATTGAAGATCACTAATTATTTAGTCACTAATTGATATACCCTCTGGTTATGACTAACATAGCCATGGTATAGATGGCCCATTTATAGATGGTTTACCGAACTTAAAAATGGGTGGATCTTTCCATGGCTATGTAACAAATAACCAGAGGATATATTTTGGGGGGCGATCACAATCCATTCGGGGGAATCCCTGGATCCGGCCAAACCTCACCTCGTTCCATCTTCTCAGCCCGCGTAAAGCGTGACCCTTGCGGTAAAAAAGTTTGGGCCTCACAAACGCGCCGCCGAGTTTGACAAATATCCTGGACGTAGCATCTCAGCATCAATACTGAAATACATCGATTTTATAGGCATATTTCACCATGAAGAACATGAAATTGTGTTTTTCATCAAGAACATTAAACTATCAGTAACTAATCAGAATGTAATCATTGAACATGAGGACTGAATCAGCAACCTTCAATCGATCGTTCTGGATTCTTTATGTGGCGGAAATTTCCGGATGGAAAATCGGAGCTCGCTGGGGAAGTCAAAGCTGAAATGAAAAATGGACGACTGGGCAGACTTCGGATACGCCCCAAAAAGGATTCAGAACAACGACTGAATTTAACACTATGCTAAATTAACAGTTGGACCCTGATTTTATGACCAATTTTGAGTGGTTTCACTAATCTGAACCAACCCCTGATGACTGCCAGGGTCTATGTTAATTTACTAAAGGGTACCACTATTAATTATTTTATAGCAGAAATTTATAGAAAGTGATCATGTTCTAGTAGGAAAGTTGGCTGGATTTGGTATCCCTACATTCATGAAGTAGCCACATGTGCAAGCTCAGACTTATGTGGATTTGGATCTTTCATTTATGAACGAAGCTTTGGTGAAAAGCTGCTGCTCTCAAAGTCCGGTTCTTGCGGTTCTTGCCTCTCTCATGGCTAAATATTCTGAAATACCGTTCAAGAACAAAGATGTAGTTTGGCAATGGATATCATGTGTATATATAATATATGTATATATCATCTGGTTATTTAACATAGCCATGGAAAATCACCATTTTTCAAAGGTAAACCATTTATAAATGGGCTATTTTCCATGGCTATGTTAAATAACCAGAGGGTATATATATACAGTTTTTGTTTTCATTTGTTTCCCTATCGCTCAAAAATACCGGTTAGCTAAGCTAGATGTCCTTGAAGGCTACGAAAGAAAAACGCTGGGAGGTGGCTGCAATTCATCATGTCCTGCAGTTTCCGCCCAACGGTTATGGCCATGGGAGTATAACTCCTGAAACTAAGGTGAAAAATATCATCTAAATGAAGTTTGTTGAAGCCAGATATAACTGTGAAAAGGGCTTTTTGTCTGTGGATGTTTGTACATTGTACTGAGCACTGCAGGTCAATGATGGTCATTTCCCCAAATCTTGGCATTTCTGCTGGCAATCACCAACTTCAGAGCTATTTCAACAATCCGGTAACTCATCCAAGCAAGGACCGTGGAAAACATGTCTCACTGCAACTGGCGTTGTCATGCGTATTTTGTGTTTTGGAGGGAAAATTCACTCACCCAGCTGATCCAATTCCAGCGATTCATCAGTCATCCATCCATTGTTTGACGAAGAAATAAGTCATAGTCACCTCATCAATGGCCGTTTCAGGTGCCGATTTATAGGGCCTATGTAAAGGCTATGTAAGGGGATATGACCCCAAAATATAGCCAAACAAATGGTACCTGAGACCTCTATTTCAGGCTCCTGAAATTCCATTGATAAACGTAATAGTGGTACAGTAAATGGTCTTGATATAGTATGTATATTCATCAGATGTTTATGGCTTATTATGGGATAATAGGGAATTTATTTAATGGATCAAAAAAGCCTATCAATATTAACCCATTATGATTATGATTCCCTATGATTCCCTATGACACAAATGGATGATTAATGGGGATTTAAGCCATCTGGGGAATCATAAATGGATCAAAAAAGTAACTTAAATCCCCCATCCACCCAGACACAGCTTGGCTCAACTCAGTAAGAGACCACTTTGGCTCAATCTGCATGGCGAGTTCCACATCATCCTGGTGAAAAAAGCTGGATTTCATATGTGGATTTCATGGGGATACCCTGGCTATATAATGGTAATATTATCTTGTCGTGACGTCCTAAGGATATCATGGCATATATATATATATATGTATTCTGTATACATATACGTATATATATATATATGTCCCGCCAACAAAAATCAATGATCATGGAGGATCATTTATTTCTTTGTGGGGTATCAAAGATTTGCGATGATTGAACTGCATTACAAATCTCCTTGGGAGAGTATGGGATATATCGTGGGGATATAGCGAATGTATATTATGACTAACCAACTTGCAGTAATATTGAACACTAGAAACTTACTAGAAACATTAATATCTGTGAAATTTTCTGGGCATACCTAGAAAACATGGTGGCAGTTTTTTGCTGGTGAAAGATCAACGAAGCATGGGGATTCCATAAGATATATTCATGGGATATACCCTCTGGTAAACGTTGCCACATATCTATAGTTAAAATCCACCATTTTATAGCTGGGAAAATCCACTATAAATGGCCAATATCTATAGAAAATCCACTGTAGTTCAGGAACTGAAAAAATTACCAGTTTTGTGTGTCATGTAACATGGATTAAAATGGGGGATACCATGGGATATCCCCAATCTAAAAATGGCCTTTTTTTTTTCAATCTCTTAGAGGGATAATGCTGATGAAATGGCCTTGGATTTAGGGGCACAGGAGTAGCAAATTTTCAGTAAAACCCATTTGTAGTTTATCAATTATCTTGGGCCAGGTGCCCAACTATCTATTTTTCGGTTCATAGTATAATACATAGTTATCCATATGAGCAATCTCGAAAACCCTAGGTTCACGGAAAGGACATTATGCCATAAATTTCCATACTATCCCACTATTATTCGGTTGTCAATGGCCATTTCAGATACCTAAACTGGAGGTACTGTACCCCATAAAGCCATATCTTGTGGGTATATCCCCTTACATAGACCTTACACTGTATATATATATATATATGATTATACATGTAGATGTATATGGTAGGTACCTCCAATTTGGGTTCCTGAAGACGCGAGCGCTGCCGTTTGTCGCTAAGATCCAAGCAGTACAGCGTGCCCAAATAAATAGACAAGTTATGAAATGACAAGATAAAGGATATGGGTATGAACTACACATATGAGCCACCGCAAAAAACCCGGCAATACTAAATATGTATTGGACGGACATTGGTTTATGGAAATTGATGGAAATTGTTAAAAACACACGGTAAGCGATGGGACCTTCCCAAATTAGCGATACCCCTTTTCAAGCTTATGTCATTGTATTTCTCTAATATCCACATTAGCGATACCCAAATTGGACGTTGATTTCTGCGAATTATACATATATAAATGTAGCAGTTTCCTGCAAGCGATACCCCCCAAGTTTACCATATATCATTATTGTACAATCGTGTGGTAAGCGATGGGACCTTCCCAAATTTGTGGGTATGGGTGAATATTCAACACTATTGGCACAACGGATCATTCTGGGATAACTGTAATAAACTAGCTGGTATCATTAATGTCCCATTAATATCCATTCATTTGCATAATACGGGATAATAGTGGGATTGGGCGATGTGTTTTTTGCTCCCTTATCGACTCATCACTTACATAACTATCTCCAGACACCGCTGCTTCCAGTTCCCTTTGGGACACGTAACCAAAAATCGTTTCCGGAACCAAGGTTACCAAGAAGATTAGGAGTGTGTTGTAGTATGTTGTATACTATAACTGGGATTATGGAATACCTGATATACCAATAGGTCATAGTATACAATGGAATAGTATACATTGGATTATGGAATTTGATATTCCAACTTGATATTAATTGGAATAGCAAGTCTCCTTTCTAATGGCTACAGTTCAACCCATTATCAAAGTGAATGACCTTAAGAGACAACATGGCGAACTTATATGAAATAGTTGATTCATGTCAACCTTGGATTAATAAACCTTGAGCTGTTTAGTTGGGCCAGGGGGGTACCATTTAAGCATCAGGTTATCACTTATCACTATTTGAGGAGTATCCCCCTAGTGATAAACCAGGGTTTATTAATCCGGGGTACAGGATGGGGCCCCATTGTTAGCTAAGTTGGTTTATAACTATAACAATAGTGTATGATACTTATAACTATATTTGGATGGGGTTATAAAGCAACTTATAACTGAGGGGGCCCATCCTGTATGTTAATATTCCTCAATTCCCACAAGATGAAGTTATTCAAAACTACACATCTGACCCTGTCTGACTGGCCCGACCAAAGCCAACTGGAACTTGGAGAGTTTGCAATAGGCCCCGCCTCAGACTCGAAATCGGAAATCATGATATCTGAGGGATTGACATTCACATTAACATTAAGAAGTATCAACTATCTATTTTCAATCCCAACATCCCAACGTTAATGTCGCTATTATTAGCTACTATTAACTTAGTAGCTATTATTAACTAGTATTATCATATATTATCAACTATTCTTATCAACTATTATTATAACTATTATTATCAACTAGTATTATCAACTATTAAGTATTATCAATTGAGGTTCAAATCTATTGAAACTCAAAGCTGGTGAGACACATCAAGGGTCGAAGGCCGGGCTCCGCGACTCCGGTTGGACAACAGCCTCCAGCCGAGCGGGAGACAATGGTGAAAAAAAAAATGGCGATCAACGAAATTCTTGCAGTTAATTGCTATAAGTTGACTATAAGTTGACTATAAGTTGACTATAAGTTGACTATAAGTTGACTATAAGTTGACTATAAATTGACTATAAGTTGACTAATCACTATAAGTTCAACTATCAGTTAATTACTTCTTGCAGTTAATTACTATCTATAAGTTGAAAAGTTCAACAATGAATTGGCCGTAAACACGGCAAGATAGTACATCATTCAAAATTAGTGAAGATGGAAGGCACATTAAAATTGTTCTATACTGAAGGATGATGTTGAATAATGTTTAATATAGCTCACCAAGTTTCGTATGTCTGAAAATGTGAGATGGGACTTCCAAAGAATTGCAATTCAGCTGGGACAAAAGATGAAACAAAAATGGAAAGTAATCTCCAAAAAGGTAGAAGGCCTCTTCACAGTCGTTTTTTTCTAGATGCTGTTTCCATCTGTTTCCTCCCAACATTTTCCCAGGCGTTCCGTCCACGTTTTCGAAAACTCGACCTTTTCAAGTGGCTGAGTTGGAAAAAAGGCGCGGCTGGTGATATCTATAATGTACATATCTCATGGTTTCATGGGATATGACTGGGTATAAATTTGTATATATATAAAAGACATGATGTCCAGTACATTATGTCCATCCAATCAATATATTATGACCATCCAATGAGCACATGTCCAATGGGTATAAATGGATATAAATGGGACATGATGACATGATATTAAATGGGTGTAAGTTTGGAATCGAGACTCGTTGTTGGTTTTTATTGCTGTGCCTCATGTTTTACTGTTGGGCACCACCTTCAATCCTTTTAATCCTCCAGGGCCTTTTGGGGGATTGAAAGGATCCTGTTTGATCCTCCAGAACTATCACAAACCAGTGGAGCAACATAGTACCTAAAGGTCTCTCCAACACATATACACATATATATATATATTAATGTATACCTAGACCCTCCAAGTACTCCAAGTATACCTAGAAGAATGGGGTAATATATATATATATATACATATGTATATATATAGATAGTGTAACAGCCTCATTAGGTTTGGATTTTTACAATTTTCAAGGGTACTTGGAGGGTCTGAGAAAGCAATCCAGTCGCTTCCCGCCTTTCATTTCGTGGCGTATGTCGCAGTGCACGGGTGTAGTACACGACGGCATCACCTGGGTTGTTCTGAGATTCTGCCGAACAACGGCTGTTTGAAGTAAAATTCTCCAAGTACGGCGGGTACCAAGTTACTAAGTAAGGTGCAAACAGCTTACGCGGTATCTTGTGTTGGATTTATGGTCGATATATCTACAGTGACAGTCGGATGGGTGAAACTAGCTGCCATTGGGAAAGCAATGCTAGCATTGCAACATCGGAAACAGCCACATGTTGGCGTGGGAACTTGCATTTTTGGCGGGTTTAATGTGGGGATGTTTTAGGGTTTGTAATCGCAATTCACCAACATTGAACTTTCTTCAACTCCATGTCTTTGGTCGTTTCACAGACTCGTTCACCCACAACTGAGACATTTCAGCACAAATGAGATGTGCAAAGGATGCAAAACTCACGGAATACGTGCTAATTCTTTCTACAAGGTGGTGCCCCCTAGTTATAAATTTGTTTATAAACCCCATGAACTATAGATATATCACCTATAAACCATAGTCATTGGAGCTATAAACCAACTTAGCTATCTAGGGGGCACCACCTTGTAGCAAGAACCTCCCTCAAGAAAAAAAAAGGATCATTCCAGCCAGGATGTTTGAATTCCTTCGAATCCTTCTAATCCTGAAGTAATTGTGATAACTTCTTGGTGGTTGACCTACTCCTCTGAAAAATATCAAAGTCAGTTGGGATGATTATTCCCAATATATGGAAACATAAAAAAAAATGTTCCAAACCACCAACCAGATAATGATCCAAATTGACCAATCTAAAATTTTGATCGTGACATAGCTCCTTTTTTTGCACAGCACATCCTCAAGAAATATTTTTTAACCCCAAATTTGATTCGAGTTTGACCAGCAGCCATCAGGATTTTTTCACCCCGGAACCTTGCCCTTTCCATAAGTACAAAATGAAGGTTTTGAATCCATGGGTTGGTACCTGAAAATAGGAAATTAGAAAATTAACCTCCAAACATCAGACTTTGGGTTTGCCCTATTTCTGGACAAAGCCACTGAAAAAGGGAAACTTTTGGATTTGCCCTTCGAAGCTTAGCCGCCTTTTTGGCGTGCGTTTTCAGAGCGCACAGATGTTTTGATTGAAACCAAACATGATCACAATCAGTGTGTGTTATCTATTTCATGGCTTTGGTGATCACATGATTGGCATGAAACACCCGCCAAATACCAGGTGGTGAAGTGAAAATCTCTTATTTTGACTGAGATATCCCACTTGGGGCACCCTGCGGTACTCACCGTCTTTGAACGCGGCGTCGGCTTTCTCCTTCTGTTCATCCGCAAAGTCCTGGAGAAATCATCAGCCAATGGATGTTTTGATGCGGCGAAACCGAGGAGCGTCAAAGACCCACATTTTCTTGGTTTTCATGGGGATTCCCAGTCGATGGACCGTATATACATGTGTATATATATTATATATATGTGTGTGTGATTATATATGCAGATATTAGAGATTGAAATGAAACAAACAAAATACAGCTGGAGATTCTGCAGGTTTCTCGACACTTACCCTATGGTGATTTGATGTAGCGAACTGGAAAATCACCATTTTTAATAGGTATTTCCTTATAAATCCTCGATATAATCATAATCCAAGATTTAAAGAAATTACCATCATAAGTCCATATTAATACCATCTGAATCCATTTTTTTTATTTCTATATTAATGCGCCTTTTTTGTCCATTGAAATAGTCAGATGGCGGTACTTCCGTTACAGCCGCGGTACCGCCGAACTCTCCAAGGCACGTCTGGTGTCCAATCGGCACGGTCCGGTGAAACCTCTCGCCGCCTGCGAGGTGACCGGAAACGTGGCGGTCACGCGGTTCGAAGGGTTCGCATCTTTGCGAAAAGGAAAAACAGAAAGTGATCTGAAAGGGAATATAGTATACCCATAGGATCCATGTATGGAATATTTACATATATTTACCAACATTTACCCCATAAATGACCCAAATGTAGATACCATACATGGATCCTATGGGATAAGACGCTCAGGATATATTATAACTGAAGATATATCTGAAGTATAACACGTTTTTTTGCATAGAAAGGAAAAAGGGAATTGGTTCTATGTAGAAGTATAACCCACATATAACTGGGAAATATATAGCATATGCAAGTGGGTCAATATTGATACCTCCCTCGAGAATCAAAGTAATACAAGTCTTCAATATAGTTTGTTATATTTGCCAGTTAATACTACATTCAACACATTTCAACACTATATCATATCTATTGATTTGTGAGTTGATACTGTTACTACCCCTTTCACTGTCTATCTAAAAAGTTGACTGGTGCGCAAGGCATATCATTTTCCAAACGAATGGTTGCCCACAAGTAATTTTGCTACAATTACTGGTGGTTTACAGTAATTGCTTTCTTTCACAGAAAATCAACTTTCTAGTTTTGCTTGTAGTTTGTTGTGTTCTTGTCCAGTATTACGACATTCAAAGATACATTTAATCATTTAACCTTTTGTTTGCTGGTGTACCAATTTCAGCGTTTCATAACTACAATGTGGTGCAGTTGTAAACTGCCCAAGAAGTCCCGATGACTGAAGATATATCCGTCATAAACCCAAATCTTAACCTAAAGAACCAGACCAACTTAGCTCAAACATGCATTCCCATTCCATTCCATTATATAAAACATATCAAATCCATTTTAATCAAATGGAACCGATATCAAAGCCATTTAAATCCCATTAAACCCATATGGAGGTTTCCTAAGTCATAGGGCTACTCCAAATATGAAATAGACAAATTTATAGACAAATTTTCCATGAAATAAACCATCCACTTTGGGGTACTACCATTTTAGGAAACCTCCATATATGTATATAAGTTATAAGTTACCCTCTGGTAAATTAACATAGACCCTGAGAATCGCCAATTTTTAATGGAAACTAATCTTCCAACCCCTACCTGGCAGGGTCTATGTTAATTTAGTGGAGGGTATAAGATGTATAAGTAACATACACCATAGTTATTGGAGCATTGTAAACCCATTTTAAACCCATCTTGAATCCCATGAAAATTCCTCTAAAACTCACCTTTTTTGGCCTTCTTTGACGCTTCCCCACGACTGGAAAGCATCCCACGCTCCGGAACTGTTCAACGCACGGGAAAAAAAACCCGGCCTGCTTCGCTGGACCTGGGTGTTGGGTCGAAAAGTATATATACAGATATGTACACATAAATATGTATGTATATATATATATGTATATATGTACACATAAATATGTATATATATATATATGTATATATATATATATATATGTGGTAAAGTATAGTTACATGCCCTATATAATGTGGTGTGCATTATATGTATATCCACATGTTATACACGTATATATATATAAAGTTACATATCATTGATAGTTATTTTTCTTTCCCAAAGTTTTGTTCTCACACGCTTTCGCCCTCATAGATAGAGATCGATAGATAGAGACAGGCACCCCACAAAATATATCAAGGACCAATCATCCCAACATATCATGGCAACCTGATAATCTGTACTCTTGTCAATCTCTTTGGGGTGGTGCTTATCGCTACTATATGTAAGAAAAGTGGAGATATCCATTCAGGCAGGTGGAATACTGCGGGTTGCTAAGTTGTAGCGATATTGATATGCACGTGTGTATATATATGTATATATTATATATACACGTATACAGCATGCTACATATACATTACATATTTATAGCTATTGGCTATTGCATCTAAACTCTACATATGTGGATGGCATCTCCGTCTCGATTGCAAGAAAAGTACCAAGTTGATCGGCTATAAGTCAAGAGCAAAAGCAGAATTTCAGAATTCATTTGTGCAAATTGGTTCATGGTTGCAACGAATTAGTAGCAGGCAGGCTAGCGGCGAAACTAGATCCGCGCCTGAAAATCCTCCAGACTGCCCTGAGGTTTGTTCAGCACCTGACACAGCACGAAGAAGAACAGAGACTGAGTTTTTTAAGCAACATAGAAATTTCAAAATCAGGACATTTCTATGGCAGAGAAATTGATAAACTAAACTTCATTAAACAAACAAACGACTTAGGCAATAAAGAATATGCTGCTTGATGAGAAGCCAAAGGTTGAATAGATCGTGCAGGAAAAGTTCAACGGACCATCCACTTGGGGAGTTGGAGGTTTCCTAAAATGAGGGTACCCCTAAATCATTCAGGATTAGGCCATTTTAATTTTAATAATTGAAACCCATGGTTTTGGGGATCCACCATTTTAAGAACCTTCCATTTGGGAGTTTGATGAGTGAATAATTTTATGAACTGTTCCACCGTGAACAAGAGTTACAAGGTGGTGCCCCCAAACGATAGCTACGATGGTTTCGTTCACTAGCTGACCTGTGGTTTATGGTAGCTTAGATATATTTACGATCTACGAATAATTGGGTTTATACAACAACAAACATAACTATATAGGGCACCACCTTGTAAAACATGGAAGATGGAACAATGGCTTTACTACTGTGGCTGGTGCCCGGATCATAATTATGGTCATGTTATATCATGTTGTCCTCATTTTCCCGTCCTTTAATCTCCAGTTCCACATGTTTTCAATGGCCGAAACATCAACTGCCGGCATGATCATCTGAAAGGGGTAACATCTACCCGGCCTGGTAAACATTAAGAAACAACGAGCTGGAAAACCAGCATGCTATGCGTAAATCAACTATTTTGACTGGGAAAAATTTTCCAGTTCGCAAAGTGTAACACATGACCAGAGGATACATAGTTTCTATCTCTCAGCTTCAAAGGTTACCACCCGAAAGCTGCCCTCAACACGAATCTTTTGTTTAGTGGACGTGTAAAAACCTCCCAAATGGTACTTTTTAATAGGGACAATGATGATTAACCAATTGATTTAAAGGTATCCTAATTTTTTTCTAATTTTCATACACACCCATATGATCAGAATCTGGAAGATGAAGCTATCAACTAAATTCTCCCAACAAAAACCTTGTACTTTCCTGAAAAAGCGTTGACAACTACCATGGAAGCACCCCAACACATTTCTTTAGAAGATGAAATTCCCATTGCAAAGTTCTCTATATTGGGGTTCTACATTCCCATTTTTGGTACGTTCAGAGTTGAGAACCCAAAGTAGCCATGTCAAAAGCGTCAAGAAAGAATGCTTAAAAACTCTCAGTGTGTTTTCCTCCCATCAACTGCTGTTGAGTCAAAAAAACACTACATGATGGGGGCCCCAGTTTTGTAAGTTGGTTTATAACCCCATCTAAATATAATTATGAAGTAATCATATACACTATGATGATCTATGATGGTTATTTGCACCAACTTAGCTAACGAACTGGGGCCTCCGCTAAACTGCGAATTCGGCACCTCTTGTTCTGAGTAGATCAACTCGTCCCAGCTTTTTGCGGACTCTGCTTTCAGCAACGTCACGTCCAAGCCTCGGAACAGTTCGCGCTCGATCTTCCGGGAATGTCCACAGGAAAACCCTTGGGAGTTCACCCTTTTTTGACATCTGAAACTGGAATTCACCAATACAACTGGGGAGTTACAGTAATTCACCAACAAAAAAAATCGGAGTTCACAGTGAAACCATGCCAAATCTCTGTTCACAATTTATGTCATTTGCCAAATCTGTGCTGTTATGATTGTGACATATGGGTATGGATCAATACCTATTAATACCATTTTTAGTGGGATGAACATCCATTTACCAGCTATTTTGATGTTCACCAGGGGTACAAGGTTTTGACACACAGGCATCAGATGTTGGAGGTTCCTGGAGATATCGCCGTGAAATTTTTGCGAACAGCGATATGTTGGCGAAATCTTGGCGCGGCAAGAAGCTGGGTCGCCTAAACCCAACCGTGGGTTTGATTTTGTTTAGACCTCATTATTTTAAGGCTAGCTGCTATTGCCCAAAAAAAATATGTTGGAAAATGGGTTAAAACAGGATCTTGAGATCATTTCCAGGAGTTTAAATCAGGAATCCTCAGGAATCTCAATGTTCCCATCGGAAAAAAAAATACAAATTGCGCTGATTTTACAGGCCATGTTCCCTAGATTAAAATTGAGGAGTTGAGTCCTGAGTCCCAAATTCTGATTGAGAAATAACTCATTGAAAAAGAACAAGACATACCCTCTGGTAAACGTTTACATAACTATGGAAAATCACCATTTTATAGCTGGGTAAATCAACTATTTCTATGGCCATGTTCAATAGCTTTTTGTATGTTTACCAGGCCGGGTACATGTGTCACCTGACAGGTTGATAGCATTCCACCAATCGCAGCCGCATTCTTCGACCATCGGGCCTCTATCCTCACTGTTCATGTGAGCAGTGTTGAAAAATCCTCAGTTCCTTCATACTGCTTGGTTACGAGCGGATTTGCCATAGTGGATTATGATAATCCCCCCAAAAGAAAAAAAAAAATATATATATATATTATACGTATATATTTATCTAACCCCCCATGATCATGAACCAACAGGGGTTATGAACGCTGCGCATGTTGATGTAAACCAATTCTACCCCATTGTGAAAAGTCTCAATCCCCTTTTCGAATAGAATGGAACACATAGCTCCTATAGAACTGACATCATTCTGGCATAGTGCGCTTACTTGAAACCCCCCTTTTTCAGATGCCGCCTTCGAAGGATATTTCGTATGATCACAGTATCCAAATCAGCAAATGGTTGGTAAACTTGTCAACAGATTACATCTATTACCCTCTGGCAATTTGTTACATAGCCATTGAACATGGCACATAGAAACTTTGGATTTACCCATTGAAAATGGTGATTTCCCATATTTTTTTGTGTTTACCAGAGGGTTTTTTGCAGTTTACATGGTATCTTCTCCCACCTATTGTATTAATGCAATTACCCAATAGTTTACCTATATGGGGATGGGTCAAAACCCTGGTACCCCTAGTGAACCCCAAAATAGCTGGTAAATGGATGTTCATCCCATTAAAAATGGTATTAATAGGTATTGACCCATACCCATATTTCAACTCTATTTGGTAACTATTTGCATTCTCCCAGTGCAATCTTTGCACCAAGTGACAGGGCAGTGTTTCCATCGTTCCTCTGATCCGGTGTCCTTCTACCTCAGGTCAGGTGGGTTGGTCAAACGTGTCGATGCGCTTGGAAAATGTGGCGAAAAAGGTGGGGAAGTATCAGACAGAAGCATTCTGCTGGTTGGTGGTTGACCTACCCCTCTGAAAAATATGAAAGTCAGTTGGTATGATGATTATTCCCAACTGAATGGAACATACCCTCCTGTAAACGTTTACATAACTATGGAAAATCACCATGTTTGATGGGTAAATCAACTATTTCTATGGCAATGATCAATAGTTTTTTGTATGTTTACCAGAGGGTATCAGAGAGAACCATTCTGGTTTGACACTTTGAAGGCATCTTTTTGATTACAAGAATACTACTGTGGATGGTTGCGAAATCCTGCACCACCTTGGATGGTTAAAACCCGTAAAATAATGGGATGTTTGCCATCTATCAACTGGTGCAAGATTTCGCTGGCCCATCCACAGTATGGGAATAAACCCAATGTCCAACCATTGAAACTCAGTCAAACATCCAACCCGAGGATTTTTGTCGAGTCCTAGGATCAACCTTGAAGATTGTCTGCTGATGTTCTTACTAATACCTGGTTGGTGCTTTCAACCTACCCCTCTGAAAAATATGAGTGAAAGTCAGTTGGGATGATGACATTCCCAACTGAATGGAAAGTCATAAAATTCATGTTCCAAACCACCAACCAGATACACATGTTTATTTTTTTTGGCAATATCACACACATCATTACCAAACTCAAAAGGTGTAATAATAACACAAGTCCAAAACACGAAATGTTGATAAATGTTGCATGAAATAATGTTTACCCAAGAATGATAACCCAGTGGTATTTCTTGAAATAGTAATTTCTCACCTTTTTTTTGGAGGTAGCCCCCCAAAAATCATAGGCTTGACGTTGGTTACATGGGATTTGCTGTGTCGGAACCCGACAAAAAACATCTAGAAACGTGCGTTCGATTCCCCAGGGTTTAGTGGATTTCCCCATGGGAAAATAGGAAAAAAGTCCATCTTCAACAAATCTACCCTCTGGTAATTTAACATAGCTATTGAACATTGCAATTTGTAGTTGATTTTCCCATTAAAAATGGTGATTTTCCATCGTTATGTTAGTTTACCAGAGGGTAGGTTGCGATTCCAGTTTTCTTGCAATGAATTCCAGATCTTTCTACAAGTGAAGTCCCCGCTTCTTCGTGATAGAAAACAGGATGGATCAAACACCAGATGTGATTTCGCAAACGCAAATACACAATAATCAACCTATATAAACATATTAAATAAATCAATTCAGGAATGAAGTCAAACATTCTGTATGGACCTGTTAAGGGCTTTAAAGTTTGGAGCCACGTTTCACCACAAAGATTTCCCCATTCAAAACGACCATAGCTGGCCTCTCGCGTCACGCTGGTCAATTCAATTTCCGTGAAGTCCGGGAGGACGGATCCTGCGTTGGAAGATGTTGGATAGCTACGTAGCTACTATTAGCTACTATAAAGATACGGCGGATGGGCCAGGTGGTAAACATGCACCAGTTGATAGATTGATAGGTGCAATGTGGGGCCCCCCAGTGATGTTTGTTGGTTTATAAACCCCATGAATACTATAGTTATTTGCGTACCATAAACCATAGTGACATTGGAGCTATGTGGCCCCCAACTTAGCTATCTTTTACTGGGGCCCCACATTGTGGTAAACATCCCATGGTTTATAGGCTTTCAACCATCCCCATCCAAGGTGCTGCAGAATTTCTTCATATTTCTTAAGCATCCACAGTGCTCGGAACATCACAAAAGGTGCCATGATTTCATGAGAAATCCATCTACTTGTCGTACCCTCTGGCAAACGTTTACATAACTATGGAAAATCACCATTTTTAATGGGAAAATCCACTATAAATCACAATTTTTAATAGCTATGTTAAATTACCAGAGGGTAAGTTATTTCATGAGTCACTGACCTGAAAACTTCTGCTTTGGGATACCCCTAACTTACCATCATCCTAACGTGCTCGGTTTAAGCGACGTGAGGTCATGAATGGGTGAAAAAGAGAAACGCTCAGTAAACCAGAGAATTCAGCAATTTCTCTTGGCCTCTTGCAGATTCTTGCAGGATGCTTCAGCTGATTGTAGGCATTGGGATTACAGTAAACAAAAGGATTCCTGGAATGGATTCTGGTTGGTGGTTGAAAAATATAAAAGTCAGTTGGGATGATTATTCCCAATATATGGAAAAATAAAATTCATGTTTTCCACAGCACCAACCAGGATTGCATGTGTTTAAAATTTACCACCAACACAGTCTTTTAGCCAGACTTGAGCAGTGTCTAAACGCCGCGATGTGCCCCATTGAGACTGGTTGATACGGGTTATATCAAGAATCATAATCCCCCATTTAAATTTTAAACAAGGGCGTATATAACCCCCTCTGGTTTGTTCATGCCAAATGCTAAACATATTATATATATATACATATTACAGTACATGGTCAATCTTTGATAGTCCACAGAAAAACATATGTTGTTGGCTACGACTATTTTCCATTTATAGCAAAAAAACAAAAGTGGTCCACCTAGCCATCCAAGGCTGGCGATGATTGTATATCTATTGTACAGACTGGAAGAACTCCTGCACCAATTGGTACCTATTGGCAACTATGAAACATAGTAAATATCCTCTGGTAACCTAACATAACTATGGAACATCACCATTTTCAATGGGTAAATGAACTATAAATGGGCAATTTTCAATAGCTATGTAACAATTTACCAGAGGTTAATGGGATTATATATAGATAAACCATCCACCAACTGGAGGATTTCGCAACCATCCACAATATTAACCCCTACAGTTATGGCCCTTTACCACTTATAAGTACTGATAACCCCATTTAATGGAATGTAGAATCCCATAGAAATAGCCAGCTATAACCATTTTAATAATTGATCAACGGCCAAAACTGGTAATTGGAAATTGGTAATTGGCTAGGTTTCCAACTATCATTAATTGCTACGCGGATATGGTTGAAATCCCAGCGTCCCATATCCATTAACTATGGGGCCCCGTAGGATCCTTTAAGAACTACTGTATTGTCCCCTACAAGTTGTAAGTTCTTATAACCCCATTTATAGAATGTATAATCAAACTGGTAATTACTTACATAATCTTACATAACTGGTTATAACTGCTTAGTTGTAAGTTATAATCCCATAGAAATGGCAATAATCCCATAGAAATAACCAGTTAATACCAACTCATAACTTGCCATAACTCTATGGGATCCTTCAAGAGCCACCCAAAGGTCAACCGGTCAACTGCTCGCCTCCCAGCTCACCCAACATGATCGGTGAGGATCTTGGCGACCAGAAATGTTGGGAAACGACAAAAAATAGGAAAAACATGTGATTTAGACATGGGATTTATGGGTTTTATGGGATTTATAGCTGATCTGATGGGATTTATAGCTGATCTGATGTATAGCTGATCTGATTATCAACATGAATGAAGATTTCATGGAATTTATAGATCTGATCTGATGTATGACATAAATTGACATAAACCATACATTTCATGGAATCATTTCACCCTCAAACACGAGGGAATTCATTGGGACTTAGACAGCAAAAATGGGGATTGATACTTAACGAACTAGTATTCATGGGCTGAAAGTAAACCAAACATCACTAGGGGGGCACATTGTAACCCTACATCATAACCCAAATCTAATAATTAATTAAAAGAATGTATTTGAATCAGGGAATAATATTTACCACTTGAAGATACTTGAAGTATCTAAAATAGTAACCAATAGTGAACTCCACTGATCTCTATTTCATGATATTCCTGGCATCACCCGAGGGTTCCCCCATAGTGCTGGAGCCCGATGACTCATCACCACGAATGAAGAGTTTGAAGTAACGTTCGCAGATGTCTGCGCCAAAGAGCCTCGCGACTTTTCGAAGCCCTGTGGATTTCAATGAAAAATTGTTCTTCAGAAGGGTTTGGGGGCATTCAAATGATTTCAAATGTAGATTGGTTCCAATTTCCGGGGGACATCGTCCACAAAGATTACGTTGATAGATGTTGATAGCATGCTGCGATTGAATAATGGACAGTGACATGATCTTCCAACCATTCGTGACTATGTCGTGACTATGCGAGTCATGATGTCGATGCTGAAGTGATGGCCTAAGAACCAGGGCGAACTGCAGCCACAGAAAAAAAAGCCCCATCAATGGGACCATCATAAAGTTTTTGTTCATTGCCATCGGTGAACGGAGGATACCCTCTGGTAATTTAACGTAGCTATGGAAAATCACCATTTTTAATGGGAACATCCACTATTAATGGTAATTTTCAATAGCTACGTTAAATTACCAGAGGGTAGTATAGAAAGACATCCTCAATCTTGGTGACACACTGGTTTCTGTCATATGTTCTGGCTGTATCCTGATTTTTCGTTGGCAAATAGAACCACCGTCCAAAGGTTCACCAAACCAAGGTTTCTTTCGAACTTCCTCCAAAACAACATCTTTGGGTGGGATTCACAACCATTTTACCTCCGGTAATCAAGCATGGCAATAGAAAATCCCCCATTTATAGCTGATTTTCCTAGCCATTCATCGTCATTTATGGTGGGATTTCCATCCCAGCCACCGTTTGGTGAAGACATGTGAAGACCCATCGCATCTGGGGCCATGATCATGTCCTGCGGAATCCATGCGTTTTCCTATGTTTACCTCAGAGTTTTTCCTATGTTTACCTCAGGATCCATAGGAAAACCATAGGAAAACCATAGGAAAATGGAGGTTTACCCTCTGGTAAACTAACGTAACTATGGAAACATCCACCATGCTATTAATGGGTAAATCCACTATTTCGACTGGGCCATTTTCAATAGCTATGTAAACGTTTACCAGAGGGTATATCTTCAATATATCCCCATTGTTGTCAGTCAAAACCCCGACGTTTGTTGGTCGACCAATAGTTTTGATGGTTAAAACCATATAGTCAAAACCTATACTTTACATTACTTTACCAGCATTTGATCTGGATGAATCAATAACTCCCAACCTAAAAAGTATGGCCATTGGGGCATGATTACGCTCACGTTCAGGATCACTTCTAGTCTGGATCCATGTTCAACTGACCTAAATCTAGAGCTTCCAATACTTTCTACTCATTTCTCAGGTTTAAATCTTTCGTTTCTAATAGTTTCTATCCTAGAGGTGGACTTGAGAATCTAGCAGATACATTGTAACTTACGGTAAACCCAATAATAAACCATCCCCAAAATTAAGAAAAAAATGGTGGTACCAACCCTACGAAACTGGAGGCTCTTGGACTCTTGACGCTAGCTTTTCCTCATTATTCCTTTCCTCAGTTCCTATCCTAGGCTTAGATTTGAGAACCAAGCAGTATGACCAGTATTACCCATAAATTCACTATCCACAAGGTATAAACCCACATCAACCCTCCAAGTTTCTGGAGGTTTACCCGTTTACCTGTTGGGTTTTAGCACTTCAAATAGCGATTTTCCCTCCTGCAGGGCCACCTGAAGTAGGGCACTTTTTCCAGAGCTTCATCCAACTTCTTCCTGGCGCCAAGGTGGATGCTACAGCTATGAAAGAACTCCTGCAACTCGTTGGTTCGGTTTTTTTTAATCAATTAGGTTTTCTGAGCCAGTTATAACTAGTTAAAACTACGGTAACTACATTTAAATATACGGATATTTAAATATACGAACAGGTATTTTAGACTACCTCCGGGAAGGTTTTCCTTGGCCCGCCCAGCCATTTAAACATACGGAATCCAATTCATTTAAACATACTGCAACTACATTTAAATATACGAACTGGTATTTCATACTACCTCCGGGGCCTCGCGGTCTGGCCCGCCCTCAGCATATTTAAATGGCGTTGCCGTAGTTATAACTAGTTATAACTCTGAGAAAGGCTACAGCTGTAGAGAAGTCAGGTCCAATTCCAAGTCATATCCAATGTTCTCTACCCTTTTCTGGCGATACTATTGAAATAATCCACCCCCAAAAAAAGGTAGTACCCTCCGGTAAACTAACAGTTTGCGAACTGGAAAATGGCCCATTTAGTTTGTTGATTTACCTATTAAAAGTGGTGGATCTTTCCATAGTTATGTAAACATTTACCAAAGGGTAAAGCTATGTAAAGTTACTATCATGGCCAATCAAGAGGTTTTCTCAATGGCTCATGGTGGACGAGAAAAACTTAGGGGAAAGTCTTGGGATCATCCCAGAAAGGTCTCAGTCTGACTGGATTTAGCCACCTGTAGTGACAATCCCAATGACTCACGGGTAATCCATGACTGGTTGGTGGTATACCTACCCCTCGGAAAAATGATGGAGTGTGGGATTATGACATTCCCAACTATTGGCGAAATAAAATATGTTCCAAAGCACCCACCAGCATGAGTCATTGGGATTTTCTGGGAATAATGAATAAGATGCATGAATATCCATCAGTTGACGTGATTTATTTTAGCTAGAGTTGATTATCCAGTTGATTATTAATTTATCCAAGTCTTTCTCCACTCGACATTGGAATGCAGTTGAATATCCAGTTGAACCCATCCTGGTTGCATTTGATCCTGGTTTCTTCATTGGAAGACCTGGTTTTGGTGGTTGGAAATTCGAGAACGAGGAGCAAACTTCCCTGATCTCAAATGCAAATACCATATGGTATAGTTAAACAGTTTGCTATTAAAAATTGGCCCATCTATGGATTTAGCATGATTTAGCTACTAAATTGTTGGTGATTTTTCATCGCTGGGTTAAAAATACCTCGCCACTTGGCACTGTCTCATGGTTTCCCCAAACAGTCCCAGTGAACTCAGGGGACCATTGTACAGGACTTTGCATGACTATACTTGGTGGCGAACTACCCAGGAATCGTAAGTGGATTATAACCCCAGTTTTTTTAGTGGGATTTTTGTAGGGTTAATCTACCTATAACTGGGGTTATAAGTCGCTTACTAAGTGGGATGAGCCACCAAGTACTATAGAATAATATGGGGTTCCTCATTGTGTTTTCGAAAAAAACAATTCGGGGATCATATCCGTCATATCCCCACTTCCTTGTTGATGCTGTCAATCTTCAAAGTGTCAAGGTTTGATCCCCCCAAACATGGCATCGTAGATATTCACTATGATCATACGAATATGATATCATCAAAAATCATCTCATATTTCACCATATCATGTTTCTGGGTCAACACATTTCAAAACCCCGATATCTATGGTCATTACATATATCATATATATATACATATGTATATATGTGTGTGTGAGCAGCGTTCAAAACCCCTCCATCCCATTTTCTTTGGGTAGTAAAGGCGCCCCTATAATCATCAACCAACAGGGGATTTGAACGCCACTCATATCAATGGTCATTCCAGGATCCTAAAATAGAGGTACTGTACCATATTTCTGGCCATATTTTGGGGCGATATTCCCTTACATAGGCCTTACATAGGCCTTATATATGGCATATATGGTACAAGGTGGTCCCCCCCCTAGTTATAAATTTGTTTATAAACCCCATGAACTAATAGATATATCACCAACAAAAACCATAGTTATTGGAGTTATGTGGCCCCCAACTTAGCTATCGAACGGGGGCACCACCTTGTAGGTACCTCCAATCAATCGGTTCCTGTTGCGATCCGATCCAAGTGGCTGATCCAAGACGATGCGAAAATAGACGTGCTGATCATTTTGACCCTGCCTTGGCGTGGCGTGGCGCGAAAAAAATCGGCTCAACAAAGAGGGAAAAAAAGAAAAAAAACAACCCGGGAGCAACAAAAAGGGCTGATGATAATGATTGAGAATGATTGATAATGATTGAATAAATATATATCGTATAAATATATATATATACGATTGTCTATGGTCGGATGGGGTAGTACCTTCTTATAAATGCACTTACAACATTTCAGGGACCCCTTTCCTGCAATCACGATTCTTTGATGGCTGGAACCCATGTCCCAATCTTCATCCATTCCCATCTGCTCCATACATGGAATATTTACCAACATTGGGGGCCGTTGTTTGGATTCATGTTGGTAAATAAAAAAATAATTCACTCACCTGATTTTTTTCGGCCCCACGAACTTTCCTCAGCCCTCCAAGCTGCGCTTTTAGGGAGGACTGTGTTCCACCTGACGTGCTTGTCCTTGAAGCGGTGATACGACCGCCAAGAGGTGATAGAATCCTCCTCCAAGGTCTGCCCGTCAGCCCGTGCCGAAGACCGCACTGTGTCGATTGCGGAGAAGACTCCCAATCGATGAGGCGTTCTTTCCAGGATGATGGCAACTTGACATAGTGTCTGCACCAAATTGATATTGATGTTAGGGGCAGTATTAAAAAAAAAAATGCCGTTTGTTTCCTTCACATGCTGATGATCAGATGGATTAAGTTGGCCACTTCAGCGGCTGGTTTTTCGGCAGAATCGGTCTAAGCTTTAGTGCAGGCCCTGGGTGAATCCCCTACAACAACTATGATTCCAGTGAGGGAGAACAGTGAGGTTGTGATAATTTGCCCAGATATATGATATATATATATATACACAGTATATATATATATATGATATATAATATGGAGCATATGGGATATGTTGTGGAGATGAACCAGGATTTTTGGCATGTTTCCGGAACCCAAACACAGAGGGACTTGCAGTCACTACTTGGCCGCCGGAAAATCCTCATTCACCCGTACAGAGGTGTTGAAATATTCATATGAAACATCACCTGATCATTGACCACATCACCAGAAACCAGAACAAAACATCTCCAACATGTTCCAACATCCAAAATCATCAAATCACCCAAGAAGTCATGTTCAAAATCTTGTTTATGGGGGACGCATGTAAATCCTGGGAACAGAAATAACCATATAAAACATGACCAGTCACCAAAGGTTAGCAAGAAAACTGGCCACGTCATGGGTTGTTAACTTTCTCACATATGCTGGTTCAATAGTGTTAAATCCTAAAAATCATAATTCATAATGCAAGAATCCCGCTTCATCATAAATCAAATCATATCAAATCATATCAATTCTACAATAGTAGTTCTGTCGAAAAAATGAGAATTCTCCATACTTCTCCAAACTGCCATAATTTTGAAGATCACCCTGCCATAGGATTGCCGGGTCATTGTTGGTGAACTCCCCAAGGTTTAAACTGAAATCATCACAATTCCCCCAGTTGGTTGTAACGTTCAAATCCCGTCTTTTTTATGATGAAGTCCCAAGCGTTTCATTGGAAAATTGGGGGGTTTGACATGGTTTAACGATTACAAATGATGATAAAACACATAAAACTGGTTGGTGGTTGAGCCACCTACCCCTCTGCAACTGAATGGAAAGTCATTCAAAATTCCATGGTTCCAAATTTCACATAGCTATAGAAAACAAAACACTTTTTTTAATAGGTAAACTATTCAAATGGGCCATTTTCATCCATTTTCCAGTTCGCTTAAAGTGTTCGTTTACCCGGTAAATCCCCATAGAAAATTCATCCTGTCGAGACACTGGAGCTCGTTGCAGAGCCAGCTGCGGGACATCACAAAGGGATCCTGACACTTGGAGGGATCCTGGTCATTTCATGGTCATTTCATGGTAATTTCACTATGAAATTATATCCAATTTCACTATTTCAGTGGATTTTTCATAGGCTGGCAATGTTTAATATATTGTTTAATGTCATGGGAATTATATCTATACTATTATACTTCACTACGGTAATATATCCCCCAGTGACTATTCATGATTACCCAACTTGAATTATTCATGTTCAATAGGATCGTATATGCAAACTATTGTTCTATTATGTTCTATTTATATTGATGATCCCCATTATATATAACTCTCATAATTAAAGCCCATATGGGTAAATTATAATAATTCACCAACCTGAATTGTTGGGCCATTTGGGGATGAATTCCCTTACTAACTATGATTTCCAGGGCTCGGTCGCAGTGAGGTCGTTATAGTTTACCCAGATAATAGATCAGTTATCTATATCTTTGCCTATACTTGGATGGGCTTCAAAGCCGAATCATAGCCAGTTTTGACACCAGCGAGTAGTCGAATGGCTGTGTTTTTCTCGAATGCCCGCGGGCATGGAGTTAGCTGTAATCCAGACGCCTAACCCCTTGGTGTATCCCAATTGTTGGTATGGTTTACTGCTTGACATCGCCAGTGAATCAGTGCAAATACCCAAATCATCCGTGTGTGTGAACATATTTAGCTGCATAAAAACAAAAAAAACCTCTGGTAATTGAACGCTCTAGAAATCACCATTGTTCTGATATCTTTCAGAACGGTAAGTCATCATGTGTGTCATCCATTTCTATGGGCCATGGCCATGGCCATGGCTTACATAGCTCGGATCCAGCTGTCATTACCCGAGACGTGTTACGTATTTCATAGTTCCTCATAGACACAGTTTGTTGCGCCAGTGAACTGTTTTTCAAAACCAAAACTCTGTTAAACATAACTATTATAAATCAACTATCAATCCCATTTATTGCTGTCATTAAGTCTTATCTTTCCCTTGCTAGATATTTCATCAGCATAAACCCAACAAACAGTTCACCAAGAAGTGAACTACCCTCTGGTAAAAGCAACATAGCTATGGAACGCTTTGGAAAACTATTACCTGATTGGTAAATTATTGAACTAAACGAACCATTTTCCATAGCAAGCTGTTGAATATTCCAGGATTCCCATTGACAAACCAACACTGTAGGGGATTTCTTCAGAGGCTTTTCGACACTTATCCGATCATGTCAGAATTGATTAGGGTCATGCTTTCAACAATGGTCGTCCATTTTCCATAGCTATGTCAGAATGTACCGGAGGGTGCGTATAATTGTATAATATACACATAAATAAATAGCCGTAATCCATGATGTATCCGCATTGATGGTTGAATCTCCCCTGAATGATTGTGAAAAAAGAAAAAAACATTCCATGACATTCCTGCTTGCTTAACTTGGCTTCTACATGATATTCCCATGATATTCCCATGATATTTCCCATGATAACTCTACAGCAACGAAGAATTCCCGCAATAGCCGTGTGTCCTGCACATCAGGAATCCGCCCCGGCGGCAAGGTTCTCCAGTCATCTGCCGAAAAAATCACCGGGATTGATCGAAAATCGGTATCCTTACAATGTGAGGCCCCCTAGATAGCTAAGTTGGTTTATAACTCCAATAACTATGGTTTATGGTACTTATAACTATAGTATTCATGGGGTTTATATAACCCAAGTTGTACCAGTTATAAGTACTAAGAAGTTACCCCATCCCATAGGATCCATGTATGGTATATATGCTAACATGACTGGGGTATATTAATGGTAAATGTTAGCATATATAGCATACATGGATCCTATGGGTTATGAATCATAACATGGAATACCCTCTGGTAAACGTTTACATAACTATGGAAGATCACCATCTTTAATGGGTAAATCCACTATAAATGGTCATGTTCAATAGCTTTTTGTATGTTTACCAGAGGGTAAGGTAAAATGGAACGATGTGAAATATCTATTGGAAAATATGGAAAAAAAAAAACACTTTTTGGGCAAGCTTTATTTGTGTTTTTTCAATGTCCTAATGGATCATCAACGGATGGATACATGTGAAGACTATGGGAAATATGGGAACATGATCGATCCATGGAGACAGATATGGGATGATCCATCCGATAGATGGTCCGATAGATCCCAGATTTGGGTGGTGATTTTTTGTTCTCGATTTCCATGCATTTGTCCCCAAATTCACCCGAATCATCAATTTCCATAGACCATTTTAGTGTTGAAACCCATGGTGACTTGGGGATCCCCCATGACTTAAGACACCTCCATATAACATGATAATCCCAAAGTCACCAACGACTTAATCATGATATCCAGGTGACATATGTCTTAAGTCACCATGGGTTTTCCATTAATACAAACCCTTGGGGATCCACCATGACTTAATCCCCCATTGTATTTTTGAATGTTGATAATCCCTCCCATCAGCCACCTGAATAGGACTGATAGGACCCAGGAAACTTCTCGATCCACCAATGGGCCCTGATACCATCTGGTGAGACAAAACGTATGGAAAATCACCAATTTTTATAGGTAAGTCCTCATAAACCATCTATTTCAATGGGCCAAGGCTTCCACAGCAAACTGTTAAATAGCCACAGGATAACTCTCGATTAATAGCCGTTAAGCACCATTGATGGTCATGAATTATCATTGTTAACCACTATTAACCATAGTAAATCCCATGTAATCCTATATCAAATCATAGTGAAACACATGAAACATCCTATGAAATCATTGGTTATTGTTACCCTATGGCTATTTAACATAGCCATGGAAAATGGCCCATTTATAGTTGGTTTACCTATTAAAAATGGTGATTTTCCCTATGTTAAATAACCAGATGGTAACCATTATTGACCAGAGGAAAATGATGAATAACAACAGGGTACACATGGGTACACCCCAGGCGGCGTAAGACATCCTAATCCTGGCCTTGTACTTCGCGTTCCTGCGCAGGAGTCCAAGCAAACGCACGCCGCTGGAAGATCTCATTGTGGTCCTTAAAGATTTGTTTCTCCTGGAGACCACTTGAAGTGGATGATAAATGGAGGTGATATAGCTGGCAAAATCACCCCAAAAAATGGAGGTTTATAGCTTGGAAAATCACCAACAAAATGGCGGTGTTGATCGCAAAATCATTTATGAATGGAGGTTCAGTTCGCTGGGAAAATCAATTGTAAATGGTAGATGTTCCATTGCCATGTTTGATGATCGGAAAAGGATCCCCTACAATGTGGGGCCCCCAAGATAGCTAAGTTGGTTTATAACTCCAATAACTATGGTTTATGGTACTTCTAACTATAGTTACTGGGGCTTATAAACCAACTTATAACTGGGGGGCCCCACATTGTAGCTAAATTAATATGTTAAAAATTACTTGGATGATCATCCCACTTGGTATACGTGGAACCTCGAAACCAGAAACCTGGTTTCAATTTCATGGTGAAACCGGCGAACCGATTTGCCCATGATCCAGGTCAATGGCTGGTCGGCTGGTTGCTTGATAGCAACATACCATGGATGACTTGGGATTATAGAAGATCTATTCCCTTCTAATGGTTACAGATCAACCTATCATAAGAGAATACATGCGAATACTAAAGTGGAAAAAATGTCAAATTATAAAATGAATTAAAATGGAATAAATATAATGTCAATCAATGATGAATCAACCCCTAGGCCGTTCAACTATTTAAGTAGCAATCCGTCATTGTTTGGGGGTAACCCCTCAACCAGGGTTCATTAATCCAGAGTTGACATTATTGAATACAATCATAGTATTCATACAACAGCTATAACAAAAAATCATGGATTATTGTTCATCATAGAATGGATGATTTTCATATCTCTTCAGTCCATCATAAGCTCACCAAGTACCCTCTGGTAATTTAACATAGCTATTGAAAATGACCATAGAAATAGTGGATTTACCCATTGAAAATGGTGATTTTCCATAGTTTTTTGTATGTTTACCAGAGGGTAGTTACAAAGTAATTAGCCCTTCCCAGCACCTCAGCTTTACATCGATACACATCACCTTACAAAGGAGTCCCCCAGCGCTCCGTCCACGGCTTTCCAGGGATCTTTTTTGCCTGGACGGGACTCTACGTGCTCTACGAAGTATGCGTTACCCTGCCCATATGCTCAATGTATGGTATATTTACCTATAGCATCCTATAGCTACATTTGGGTGTTTTTTGGGGCAAATGTTGGTACATATTCCATACATGGAGCATATGGGCTGTAGTAGAGTAACGGTTTGTGAACTGGAAAATCACAATGTTTTGATAGGTAAACCAACTATAAATCACCCGTTTTCCATAGCTATGTTCGTTTACCAGAGGATATGTTCAATAGCTACGATTAGCAGTAAGACCCTGCTGAATTGTGTGCAAATTTGACCACCAAAGAAAGGAATTTGAACTGAGCAAAGTCTTAAAGATTCACAGGTTTTCACCGCAAATGGGACAATAGAAATGGGGAAATGGATGGAAATGGCTTTTAGCCATGGGGTACTAACGCACAAACATGCACAAACAATTGGTCAGTTTTAGCAAAGTTCATCCCCACGAACCCTTTTTCCTGCACTCGCCTTTTTTTAGCACTGAACTGGGGCACCAACCAATTTGATGTCCTTTTGGTAAAAATAGAGTAGAGGGGCCGGGAGCTGGTGATCATCCCATCTATCATCATAGAAACCTGTTGTAACAAAGGGGTTTCTTTGGAAACCCCTCTTTTTTCATCAACCAACCAATGGGAATTTGGGACATCCATGGCACCAACCAAACCTTGTGCGTGAAAATGTCTTGTAAACCGACTGTAAAAAGGGGAGGTTTTCACTGTAACATCCGACCAATTTTCGAACTCATGTGTGCATCCAAAAAAATAACTCTGGCAGTTTGCAGAAACTGAGCCACACAAAGAAAAACATCATACCATCAAAAACAATGAAACATGGAAACAAAAAACATGACTATGGGTCAAAGCCCTGTTACCCTTCTGTTCAACTCAAAATTCGTATCTGTGGATGTTCATTCCCCTGAAAGTGGTAGTTATAGGTATTGATCTATTCAATATCCTGTCCCTTACCATCCCTATTGCAGCATGATCTTGCCATTAATGTATGCCTGACTGTTTGATGATCGCCATTAGTTGTCAGTTGTATCATATATCATCTTACTGTATATCATATTTATATCCACATATATCCACATAAACATTACATAAACCAGATATGATCATATATGAGAAAGAACCAGTTTTCACTTGGGCACAAAAACGACATAAAACGACACAGCTCGACGGTCTTCGACAAAAATAAGCGCACCAGCTCGATGACCAAATGTCTCAGCCGCCGTTCAGGATCTCGAACATCCTCGGTACACTTCGGCTGTGAGGCTTTCGATAGAAAATGAACACATTGTTTTGGTGAGTTAGTCCATAGTTTCATGATATATTTAATAGGAAACTATATATATATATGGTTTGGTGAGAAACAATCCTTTACAGCAATCAGTTTGTTCGCCTAAAGTGATATTTCTCACCTACCAGTTGCAGGAGTTATCCCATTTATAACTGTTACCCTCTGGTAATTTAACATAGCTATTAAAAATGGCCATTTATAGATGGTTTAGCTATCAAAAATGGTGATGTTCCATAGTTAAGTTATGTTAGTTTACCAGAGGGTACCTGATAGAAAAATGAATGGTTTTGATACGATTCATGGTTTGATGCGATGTGTTCTTCGATAAAATTCACCCGAACGCCGCTTTTTTTGTCTGGTTGGAGTAATTACCTGGACATCCGGGATATCTGCACCCAAATGAAGCCACATGTATACTGATGAGTTAAAGTTATGGAGATTTTTAGGAGGGGTTTCCAATGGTTTCCATATGTCCCAAAACTATAAATATTCCGAATGTGTCTTGAGTTCATTGTTGCACGTACAGGTACATTAGGATAATCTGAAGGGGTGCAATCAGTACCTTCGGGAATTCTGGAGCCGACCATCTTGACAGCCTATCACCTGTTCTTTGGCTTTGTCAATGAGGGCGATTTGAAAATGGAAACAACATGGAACAATGATCAACCGGAAGGTTTTCAGGTGTATTCACCAGGTAAAACTCATCCGTTTTTCCAAGACAACCATCCGTGTTCACCTTAACCGGCAGAGAGATTCTGGTTGTCTTATGCGTTCATGATCTCATTGAAAAACGCATTGTCATACTCTGGTTGACTGGTTGGTGGTGCAATGTGCCCATCCTGAAAAATGATGGAGTTCGTCAATGGGTTTCGGATGACATCCCATATATGAAATGGAAAAAAATGTTTGAAACCACCAACCAGAACAGCATCAACAGGCACATCGTGTAGTTTTTCATGACTCAACCAGCCACTTTCCTGGCGAAGGATCTCATACTGTGGATGGTTGCGAAATCCTGTAGCAGTTGGACGGCGTATCCCCTCTGCTAATCCCATCGTTTTCAGTGTTTCATAGTTGCCAACAGTTACCCTCTGGTAAACATACAAAAAACTATGGAAAGTCACCATTTTCAATGGGTAAATCCACTATAAATCACCATGTTCAATAGCTATGTTCAATAGCGTTGTTAAATTACCAACAGTTACCAACTGGTGCAGGATTTCGCAACCATCCACAGTATGCTGTAATAAAATTCTACACATCTCTGGCAAAACTCTTCCGCACCTCGTCCAAAAGCCCTCCCACATCCACTAGGTTCCAGAATTTTATCTTCTATATACCCTTCCAACAAGTAGCAGTAACATATATTTGTATGTATCGATATACCATCTGGTTATTTAACATAGCCATGGAAAATCACCATTTTTAATAGGTAAACCATCTATAAATGGGCCATTTTCCATGGCTATGTTAAATAACCAGATGGTACATAGTAACATTATGATCTGCGATCAAACATGGCGTCCTGGCGCGTTGAAGCAATGACGGTAACCGCTGAGCTCTCTGACTCGCTCAACAGCAAACCAGCACTGACCGGGCTGAACCTGGCATGTCAACCGGTGAGGAGTCCACCATGGAAGATATAGGGATTTTTTGGTGGGATATTGTGGGATATTTACCAGAGGGTAAATAAACATAGACCCTGAAAATAACCAATTTTTAATGGAAACTAATCTTCCAAGTCCTATTTGCCAGGGTCTATGTTAATTTACCAGAGGGTAGTATGATTTGTTTAATGGGATATCATGAAGGGTCCTGCCTTGTACAAGGCTGATATAGGATGATACATCAGTACAAGGCCATGCCGGCTTGCGATGATTGCTTGGTGTCACTAAGATCCTGGGATATCAACTATCACTGGACAGTGATGAATTCATGTTGCTTTTAGATGCTTGAAATCCACAACGAAATGCGGCGTATCAAACGTATCAAACGTGCAGGGCGTCTCTGGCTGGATCAAAACATATCAACCGATGGGGTTGCCGGTTCGATATGGGGCTGCATCTTCCTAGTGTTGAACACTTGCAATACCCATGACGGATCCTAACGGTGCTGCTAAAAAAATGGTGCTCCATGGATCCCATCAATATACGCCAGTCATGTTCGCATTTTCCTACCAGCACCAGCCGGATCCGTCATGGGATAGGGAAATCATAGGGAGATCACCTGGGTTTCACGATGCGTGAAACACCTTTTTTGGACCATCCAAAAATCTTTTGGGTTCCATGGGGATTTTCCCAGGAATCATGAGAAATACATATACAAAGGGCATCAAACGCCGCCACATCACTGGTCAGTTATATTTACAATGTGTGTAATGAGTTAAAATGAGTTTAAATGCCAATGATTATCAACCTGCTTGGCTAGTCTTTGAAACTGCTCCTGTGGAAGAATTGCCTAATATTTTGAGGTAAAATCAAAATCCACGGCGAGTTTCTGATTCACATCATGTTAGTATACCAGAGGGTATGTTCATCCATGAATCACCACTGATAATCATTGATTATCATTATAGATTATGGTGGTTTCCCATGGTTTGATTAATAGTGATGAATAATCATTATTAAACACAAAAAAAACATAGGAAACCATAGGAAACCACCATGATCTGTCTATATTTGTTGCGCAGCCCATCAGTGCCACTCGACATCTTCGACATCTCGCCGCGCCTCATGGGTCAATCTTCCGCTGACGCCCCCTACGACCTGAGTTCGAAAAAAGAGCCACCTGATATGGGGTACCCGGCCTGGTAAACGTTTACAAAAAGCTATTGAAAATCCCATAGGATTCATGTATGGTATATATGCTAACATTTGGGGTATATTGATGGTAAATGTCACCATATATAGCATACATGGATCCTATGGGAATGGCAATCTATAGTTGATTTTCCCATTAATAGCAGGGTGGATCTTTCCAGTTCGCTATGTTAGCCCGTTTACCAGAGCGTACATATTACATATAGTTGCCACGTATTGAACGATAGGGAAATCGAACAACAAACACAACCTTGTCACTAGCAACATGAACTTGAACAGCCAAACATGAGGATCAAACTAGCACACATGGGTCACAGGGGGCGTCACTAGTGCTATAGCCAACAATGACAATAGAGACATTGAAAATGGGTTGTGCAATAGTAGGTACGGACAGTAACCAATAAGAATGAAATCATTAAATAAAGTGAAAGCCCACACAAACCAGGATATAATCAATCTATACCAAGAAGGAGATGGGCGACATTACGTGGTTCATACACCGGTCTAGAAAGTCCAGCAGATTCGTTGAGCAGCTGTGTGAATTGAAATTAATTAGGGTTTTTAAGCAAAATAAATAAATAGAGGGAACCAACCCAAAGCACTCTCAAGACACTGTTCAACTGTAGTGTCTGATTTAATTGACTGGTTCAAAGGAACACAGGAAACGATCTCTTACTCCAACCTGGTTGAACCAATTCTGGGGATCAATACTTTGTTTATTTTCCATTCCTCTGGGTGAAAAAAAATGGTCCCAAAAAATGGACAAAAATTGTGATTTTTCCAGCCTGAAAAATGGTACCCTCTGGTAATTTAACAGTTCGCTATTGAAAATGGCCATTCAAACAGTGGATATTCCCATTAAAAATGGTGATTTTCCATAGTTATGTTACTTTACCAGAGGGTATCCCCATTTTTGACTTCACCCAAAATTGGCCGGACCTGACCATATCCGACCCCCGCCTCGCTCTTTCGTGGACCCTTCAAACATCGGACCACCAGTTCACTGGGCGACACGCGCACCTGGCAGGAGCTGCCACCTACCGGGTAAAAACGAACATTGGTATGAAAAAAAAAACATGGGAAAAGTCAGGAAAAAATGATGTGTTGGTGAATCTATTAGAACTAGTGGATGTTTTATCTCTACATATATATATATATATGTATATATATATATAAGTATATATGTATATAAGTTGGCTGAATAATTGGCAATATATAAGCTAGCAGAGCACAGTTGGCTGGAGCGGAGGGAGGAGCACGAAAAAGGGAGCACGAACTAGAGCACGAAAAGTGTCACGGAGGGAGCGAAAAAAAAGCACGAACTAGAGCACGAAAAGTGTCACGGAGGGAGCGAAAAAAAAGGCACGAACTAAAGCACGAAAAGTGTCACGGAGGGAGCGAGCGAGCACGAAAAGAGCAAAAAAAAAGCACGAACTAGAGCACGAAAAGTGTCACGGAGGGAGCGAAAAAAAAAGCACGAACTAAAGCACGAAAAGTGTCACGGAGGGAGCGAAAAAAAAGCACGAACTAGAGCACGAAAAGTGTCACGGAGGGAGCGAAAAAAAATAGCACGAACTAGAGCACGAAAAGTGTCACGGAGGGAGCGAAAAAAAAGCACGAACTAAAGCACGAAAAGTGTCACGGAGGGAGCGAAAAAAAAAGCACGAACTAGAGCACGAAAAGTGTCACGGAGGGAGCGATAAAAAATAGCTTCCTCAACTTATGAAGAAAATTTGTTTTTTGACTGTTATAGGTATTAGGATCTACCCAATATATAAGTATATATGTATATATTTATATATGTATGTCTGTATATATATATATACGCTGTTCACGGTAGTTTTCTGAAAGCTGATCTGTTTCGGCGCCAGGATTCATCTCCCCATGGCCAGAGATGTAATCAGGTCGGATCGTCCGAGCTTCGTTCAGCAACGTGTTTTCCAACCATTGGTTGGTTAATATACTGTTAATAATGGTTAATATATGGTTATTATATGGTTATTGTATGGTTAATGATGGAGTAGTAATATTAATAGATGGTTATGATGGTTAATATTTATGGTTAATATTAATGGTTATGATGATGGTTAATGATGGTTAATAATAATCTGGTTGGTGGTTGACCTACCCCTCTGAAAAATGATGGAGTGAGTAACAGTTGGGATGATGACATTCCTAATATATGGAAAAATGAACATCATGTTCCAAAGCACCAACCAGAAAATGATCGGATTGGTTGAAAAAAAAACGGTGCAAGTGGGGCCAAAGTGGGCACAAAATCGCAAAGTTGTCACTATGTTTCATGATACTTAGAACTATAGTAGCTATAGTATTCATGGGGTTTACAAAGCAACAAACACAACTGGGGGGACCCCACATTGTGGCACTCATGTTTTTTTTTGACCTCAAGCTAACTGGGACAGAGATCCCCTGTCACCAGCATGTGTCCACCAGCATGTGTCCACCCGCCTCAAAATCCGTTTCGTGAAGACCTTAGAGCCAGGCAGCATGAAAATAAGTCATTACGAGGATATGAGCCGTTACAAGTTATTGGGGATCACTTCCTAACCATTCACAGTTACTCACTGGATATTAGCCAACATAGCATCTTAAAGAACTATGGTTGTTCTAACCAGGATAGTGGCATCATCCTCCGGATTCTGGGAATCATTTAAGGGGTACCTGACACTTTATCCAAAGAGGTCCACACCAGGGGAAAGAAACACATACCCTCTGGTTATGTCAAATAGCTATTGAAAATTGCCATAGAAACAGTGGATTTACCCATGAAAAATGGTGATCTTCCATAGCTACGTGGCTGTTGACCAGAAGGGAAATCCATATGTTGATCACCATTATCCGAAAATTGCCATCTGTGGGGGGTTTTTCGTGTGGCATTTTCCGACCCAAATGAGATCAACCGGCAGAAGTGGGTAATTGAATGACATCAAGCCACAGTGGTTGATGGTTGAGAAATGTTGAGAACCCTGGCAACAAAAAACGCGCCAATTGCAGACATTAAGCCCGCAAGTGACTCAAACAAGTAAAGAATGACAGACTGGTGTTGACACCAAAAACATGACATGACTGCACAGTTTGTTTGAAGTAGTCACCCATGTTATCTGCTCATACCATCTGATCTTTGTTGTTTGTTTTTGTCAACCCAGAGAACGTCTGGGTATCTCAAAAAAAATATCTTCAACTGATGGCTCGACATAGAAAAGAAAACACCATCTTAATGACCTTAATGTTTGGGTCAAACTTGCGTACCCATCCTTAATATCCCTTGATATCAAACATGGCTTTCCGGAAAATCTACCATTTGGATGACTTTCCCAGCTTTTTGAACCTCCATTTAGATGGGAATTCCCAGCGGCCCGCCATGTCAACGATGTCAAGGGATGGTATGATCTCATGATATCTCATGTTCCAGAAAAATATTCCAATCGTATGCCATATACAGACCATATGTGTCCATATGCCATAAATATCATTAGCATATTCCATGTTTGATGATGCAGCACTGAATGGCTGAAAAGATGGGGTCCCAAATCAGTGATTTCGCAGTGGGTTTTTCATCTCACCATCCCTTTATAAATGACTAACTGGTTGCGGTTCCCGCTGGCCTTCCAAGGCTTTCTCCAAAGGCATAAACAGCTGCACCGTGCCCGTGTTGTGGCGCCATCTTAGACCCTGTAGCGACGTTGACGTTTTTGGGCAAGGTTTTTTATATTTGGGGCCTGGGCCAGGGGATTAATTGTATGGGCAGAATGTATATACATTGTATGGGTAAATCATCATAATTAATTCACTATGTTTCTATAAAGTCATATTGGGATCCTTCCTTACTAACCAGTATTCCGGTGACGTCGCGTTGTAAGGTCGTTGTAATTTACCCATGCAGATACTGTACATGTGTGTGTGTGGGTGGGGATAATACAAGTAATTATGTATTCTTTGGAATCTTGGGAGATGCGACCAAAACGCCCCCTAGAACTGGGATATCCTAGAACTGGGATATCTTGGCCATTTCAGTCACAATCTCTCCTTACTTCAATCGTAGCAAACCCCAAAGAGATGCTGAACAGTACAAAATCAAACTACAGTAAAACAGTGAATAATTATGCCGTTCCGCATATATCCTCGTACTAAAGTAGGTTATTTGACATAGCTATGGAAAATGTCCCGTTTTGAATAGGTAAATCATCGAACCAAATGGCCCAATATGAATAATATGAGATGTCATTTCTGTTCATGAGAGAAATTAGGACTTTTCCTCTGGTCATTGAACAGTGTGCTATGGGAAGAAAGGCCTTCGATGATTTGCCAATTAAAATGGTGATTCTCCGTAGCTATGTTGAATTGCCAGAGAGTAGCTGAAACAAAAACATGGGAATTTATAACGGGGATATGATGGGAAGATAATGACCCATAGGTTCCATGGATGGTATATATGCTAACATTTACCATCAATATACCCCAAATGTTAGCATATATACCATACATGGATCCTATGGGTGATGGAAATATCATGGAGTTATAACCAACGACTGGTTGCTGGAGCCTTTCCCCTGAAAAACATGTGAAAGTTATTTGGTAGAAAATCATCTCTACAGAAGAAATGATTGAAACCATCAGCCAGAAAGTCATGGTTTTGATCTCCCAAACATGTTGAATAAAAATACCATAGACATAGTTAGATAATGTGGTAAACCATGGTAACCCCAATAATCGGGGATTGTATTTACCATCCCATTTATGGTAATATTGGCAATGCTGTATGAAAATGGGTTTAATTACCCATAATTACCACAGTAAACATCAACATTTATTGTATGGTTTGATCATGTGTGATCCGCACCTGTCATCTACTCCAGCCATTTTCGATTCGATTGCTGGCGGTTTGTGTCGCTATGTACAGCTTTCTGAGCCGCTTCAACCCAGCGCAACGACGCCGTGAAACGCTGCGCGGCACGAGGAAAAGTTGCGCCGCGGAAAACTCGTTTCTTGGAATGGAAACAGTGCCCGTCAAGCACCGACAGGAACCTCGGCCGGTCGCAAGCTATGAAGCAGATGAGCTTGGGCCGCGACCCCCAAAAATGTTCTGAAAAATCCAATCTGGTAATATTGAGGATATTTCCCCAAATTTCCAGATATTACCCCCAAAATATTTCCCCAACTTTCTGGTAATATCTGGTCATATTTAGGATGGAAAAAAACAGCGGTAAGCAGGTGAGTTGACCCCCTTTCACATCATTTCATGCCACCATTTTGAATAGCCGGTTCAAATGCATGAGCGTCCCTATACCGCCCACATTTGATCCGTTTGCACGTAGATGATTTGTCATGATATACCATGAATAAACCACACCTTACCGCCTTACCCACTCATAGCAGAATGGTTCAACCCGTGCTGGCATGAAGAGGTCAAATTTTAGTGGGAATTGCCGTCAATCCGTATGACTCCTGAACTTCTCACTCCAAATTTCACCTCCTTTGTCGATCTCTTCATAACATTTCATACAATGTGGGCCCCCCCAGTTATAAGTAGATTTATAAGCCCCAGTAACTATAGTTATAAGTGCCATAAACCATAGTTATTGGAGTTATGTTCACCAACTTAGCTATCTTGGGGGCCCCACATTGTAGCGATGATAGTCAACCAGGTGCTTCAAGCTTCTGGAATGTGGACGTCTTGAGTCCCCAGCAGGATCCAACGGAAGATTCAAACCAAGACTGGGAGGTTTTTCAACGATCAAATGGGGATTGAAAACAGCACAAGCGGGATAGACTGCAAGGCCATCTTCAAAACGACAATTACATCTTCAACAAGCCTCCCTTTTCCACATGTTTCACGCCCTGGATCACTTACGGATTGGGACTTTTGAAGTTCAACAACTAACAAGGCCAAACATCACCTGAGAAGCATCGCTGGGAAAAGTCACGGCTCCAATGGGGCCTGTTTTCTTCGAGGCTTTACGCTGCCATAATTTTACCAGATTTGATAGAAACAATCATAATAATCTTATAAACCAATCATAATAATTTTACAATCATATTAATTCCATATTTCATAGGGGAACTTCACTTACGAAAGGGAAGCCAATCATAATCTTACATAAAGGATTATAACGGGGCTGGTTTGCACAAGCCACAACGGCCACAACGGCCTGCCTAGACACTTCATCTGCTGCATCACGCTTCGCGGCTTCCTCCTGTTGAAGTGATCACAGTGGGCGAACGATGGCTTGAGATCTTGATCAAACAGTGATTTCTCACATGCTGTACAGGATGGAGCCCCAGTTCGTTAGCTAAGTTGGTTTATAACTATAACAATGGGGCTCCATCTAAAACAATAGTGTATTATACTGATAACAATATTGTATTATAACCCCATCTATAACAAGTTGGTGTATGATACTTATACCTATATTTAGATGGGGTTATAAACCAACAAACATAACTGGGGGGCACCATCCTGTAAGAACATGACACAAACATATCCTATGATTTCCAAAGTCTTTTGAATGCACTTTGGAATTCGATCATCCTGGTGATAAAACCGGGATTGGCACTTCGATCCCGAATTCATCAAGAGATGTATAGTCATCCTGGAGTACATGGGTGTTTCCGAAAGTGGTGGTACCCGCAAATCATCCATTTTGGTAGGATTTTCCATTGTAAACCAGCCAGCTATGGGGGTACCCACATTTTAGGAAACCTCCATATTGAACTTTGAAAAAAATCCTCACTAAAATGGGAATCAAACAGTTCAGCTTTGGCAGGGTATCCAGCAACAAAGTCGTCCATCACTCGGCACTACTATCTGATGGATATCCTTTGGTAATCAAACCTAACCTGGCAATCGGAAATCTTCATTGAAAATGAAGGTTTTGATGGGAAAATCACCTGTAATGGGGTAAGTCCCAGAGTTTATTTGATCTTATTTTGCTAGCTTTGAAACTGGATGCTTTCCAACCAGCCTCAATCATGGTCTTCATCTTTTCCCTGAGCCTCAATCAGGACATGGGAGGAATCAGCGTGAAAATGTTTTCCCCTGGGAAAAAAAAATGGATATCCATGGAGAACATAGGGAAAATGTTCTACACATGGTGGGTTTTCCAAATCTATCTGGTTGGTGGCTTCAACCCCTCTGAAAAATATGAAAGTCAATGGGAAGGATTCTCCCATATATTATGGAAAATAAAAAATGTTTGAAACCACCAACCAACTATGTTCAACTTCAGCAGAACATGACCGCTGAACCCTCCGAGGGACTCGCTGAAGACTTCCGGCTTATCCTCCCTGAGCTCATTGATCTCGCGACCCAGCTCATCCAGATCGATGCCAGCCTCCGTAGCTTCCTGAAACTCAGGGATTCAACCATGAAAAATGCTGGGAAAATGGTGGGAAAATGAGAAAACTACCCTCTGGTGAACTAACATAGCAATGGAAAATCACCATTTTTAATGGAAAAATCCACTATAAATGGCCATTTTCAGTTGCTATGTTAGTTCACCAGAGGGTAGTGGGTTTTCTTCCAAGTTGGTGCCAGAGTTCGGAATCGCAACGGGAATTTAAGCATCAAACATCGCGAATGATATGTACTTCGGATAGGTGAGTTGGTTTAGTTCACGAGATGAACTGGTGGTTTTATGGTGAACATGCCCAGATCGTTGGAGTAACATAAACAAACGAGACGAACTAGTGGAGATAAGCGTCCCTATTTGGGTTTATTTTTTAAAACGGAATATAACCACTGAAAATGATGATTTATCCCAGATAAATGTGGATATTGAAAATATTTGTTACTAATAAATACGATCATTAAACTACCCTCTGGTAATTTAACATAGCTATTGAAAATGGCCATTTATAGTGGATTTACCCATTGAAAATGGTGATTTTCCATAGCTATGTTAGTTTACCAGAGGGTATATTAAAATCATGTGGGTGTGTTTTAAAAAGGGATACCCCCAAATCATTCAAAATTACCTTGGTTTAGATCGTTTTAATCTAATCATTTTAATATTGAAACAACCATATCAATTTCTATTGAACAGTTTCTCGATATCAAATGATTCAAATATGAACAAAACCGCCATTCACAAAATCATGTTCTGTCGATATCCCCATGTTTGGTGTTTGCATACTTGAATCCCATTTCTTGGTGGTTAAAATTTGATGTTTGCTGCTTGAAACCTTATGTTTTCGGTGCTGGCTTGGAAAAATTTTGGAAAAACAAAGGGGCGTGTGAATAGTTACCAACATTTATAGCAACCCAAAAAAACATGCCGAACATATCCGAAAATAATAGCGTTGTAGCGAAAAATCACAAAAACATATTTAAAAAGTATGAAACTCGGATGTCAGTTCACCCCCATATTTTCATATAGATATATAACTATATATATGTGTGTATCAGTATATATATATATCATTTTATATACATGTATATCACCTTATATATATATATCATTCTATATATAAATTACTATACATATCACTATGTATATATATATGTCACTATCTATCTATATATATATATACATACACATGTTATATACATATGTATATACTTATCGTTATATACTCACCACCGTTTTAAGGTGGGGGGACGTACCCAAAATGTAAGCTACATTTTTGAAGGTGTTTTTGAGGGGGGCCTTGACAATGTAAGCTTACATTTTGAAGGAATTTTGAAGACCCTCCCCGCAAAAATGACACCTGGGGGACGTTCAGCGACCAATTTTACACATTTAAGGGGGGAATCCCAAATAAATGTATCTTACATTTTGGTATGGTCCCCCCCTGAAAAGTCGCCTTAAAGGGGTGGTGATGTTATATATTATTCTCCAGCCGTCCAACTCTTCGAAATCAACCTTTTGGGACGGGCACCTTGGCATCTTGATCCTCCTCCTTGGGAACCAGCCACAGTCCATCGCGTACCTTCACCTGAGTTTTTCCATGAGGGTACCAATAAAAAGCCACAGATTTTGGGATTAAACCTAGATGGAATCAAGAACTGTAGAAAATGGGGTTGATAGGGTTACAATTTATAATGATTTAACAAAGATACTGGGATTAAGTATGTGACTATGCGGTTTTGACCTAATGCGGGATAGATAGTGGGATTAAATTTAAATATGTATCCTTCATCTGTGGTTAAACCGAAATATTTGGGATCGAAGAAACTGATTTTATGGGGTTGATGGGGTTGCAAAATGAATAGTTTTTGATATATATATATGTATATCTGTTTATATCTAGGTATATAATACCAACAGTAAGATATTTGAGTCCACTATATCGCCAGTCTATCCCCAATTTTATTGGCAGTTCCCATTGATCATTGACGGTTATATTGCCCCTTTTGTATATATCCAACATATACACATTATAAATAGATTCACATATCTAGCACATACCCACTACATATTTTTATGCATATACATTAATCAATCAAGTTGATTAATTATCGAAGGAAGTTTCGAAGTCAAACTTCCGACTCATGGATACATGCAGCAACAGTTGCGAGAAAAGTCAGAGAACAGAAAGAGTCAAAGAAGAGAGAGTCAGTAGAAAGAAGATCAGAGAAGAGAAAGAGTCCAAGAAGAAAGAGGAAGAAGAAAGAATGATCAAAGTGTGCGAAAAGGTAGGAACGTCGCGAAACACCGTGTTTTCCCAATGATTTGTGGCTCCGGAGGGTCGACAAGTAGGCTCGCTAAAGCAGCAGGTGCGGAGCCACATGGCAGGATGAGATCCCAATGTTTTCTGGCGCGACGCAGATTTGGAAGTCAAAAAGCTAAAAACATCTCACGTCCGGAGCAATTTTGGCAACTGAGCTGTTGAAAAAGTGCACGCGGTTGCGGCGCGAAGCACATTCCGAAGTAAAATGTTCTTGAAAAAGTGCACGCGGCTGCAGCGTGAAGCACATGTCGAAGTCGAAATGTCAAAATCACCTCAGGTTCAGTGCACTTTTGGAAGTTAAGATGTTGAAAAAGTGCACGTGGTTGTGGCGCGAAGGACATTTCAAAGCAAACATGTTAGAAACACAACATGTTCGGAGAACTTTTGGACGTTCAACCGTCATGTTGCGTGGCAGCCACCATGGATGCTACACATTGCGAAAAGCGAGCAAACGCGAGGGTTTTGTAACATTGTCAAAAACGATGGCAGGCGTGGGACGCTTGAAGAGGATTTGCAAAGATGCATGTCGTGGCCGGCGCAGTACAAGAGATACTTCCATCAGACATGCTAGGACGTCAGAGCACTGATTTCCTGAGAACGGTTGCATTTTGGAGCATCAAATCCTCAAGTTTGCCAAGGCGATTTTGCGTGACAGGCGCAGCTCTTCGTATGACTTGGCCGCACTTTTCCGTGGCGGGCGCAATACTTTAGAGAGATGGGATGGAAAAATCGCAACACCCAACGGTACGAGGCTGTCAGCTGTGCACTCAACTTTCCATTTTTGAAGGAAGCCTCGCAGAATTGCTTCGTTTTGGAACTGTCAACTATCACTTCTGAAGGAAGTCTCACAGAATTGCTTTGTTTTGCACCTGTCAACTGCTACTTTTGAAGGATGTCTTGCAGAATTGCTGCGTTTTGCACCTGTAAACTGTTACTTTCGGAGGAAGTCTCGCACAATTGCTTCCTTTCAGATAGATGGACAGATGGATTGCATGGGTCGATAGATAGATAGATCGATGGATAGATCGATAGATAGATTGACTAGATAACTAGATCGATAGATAGATAGATCGATAGGTAGGTAGGTAGGTTGATTGATTGACTGATATATAGTTAAACAGATGGATAGATCGGGCGCTAAAGAGATAGAGGAGGATAGAGATAGAGAAAAAGAGAGATACCGAGATTGGGAAAGATTGACAGAGAGGCAGATAAATGGATAGAGAACTAGATAGACAGTGAGACAGAGAGAGAGAGAGAGAGAGGGAGAGAGAGAGACAGATAGGTAGGTAGGTAGATAGATAGATAGATAGACAGAACTAGATAGAGAGAGAGGCAGAGAAAGAGAAAGAGATAGAGATGGAGACAGAGATAGAGATAGAGAGAGAGAGAGACAGAGAGAGATAGAGAGAGAGAGAAAGAGAGAGACTCAGAGCCTCAATGGGTTCGCTCTGCCATCCATGCATCACAACAACTCACCTTTCCTACAAGTTTTTTCTATCCTTCAAATTTTCTGCAAGGTGCGGTACTACTGGTAAGTCAGGTAAGTTATATATCCCATTATAAGTCCACTATCAGTCACTATCAATTATATATTGGGTATATCATTAATCGAGTACTAATTCATTAATCCATTATAAATCCACTGATTATACCCATATAATATCATGACTTAGTATATGATAGATGAATGGATTATAATACCCATCGTATATAGTGACTAATTATAGTGGATTATAATATCCAGAAAAAAAAACTACGAAAAACCCATGATATCTGCATCAAAAAACAACATCCCCAACGAAGAAATCCCAAGTCACTGGCTCCTGCGGCAGCTCTGGCCCGCTGGTGTCGCGCTGCCGCTCCGCCTCGCTAAAGATGCCGCCGCCCGTCTTCGCCTGGCACGAAGACAGCGGCCACCGGGGTGAACCTTTAAGGGCGACAACCGGGCGGGGATTTATAGCTCATATGGAGGTTTCCATAAATGGGGCTACCCCCATAGCCGTATATTAATTGTGATTCAACCAGCAAAATTAGATAACCCGAAACCAATAGGATTTTTGCAATTAAAAAAATAAAAGTGATGTAACGGTCATTTATCTCCATTTCAGCAGGATTTTGCTTTTCTATTTTGTAAGATAGCAAGAAACCATTCGGAGTTTTCCAACTATCTATATACCAACACAAATGTGGATGTCATCAACAACGCTGTGCATTTTGCCAACACAATGGTGGTTCCATAAACAAACGGATGATTTGATCGGGACAAATGGGGGTAAATGTCAATGGCCAAAAACAGGGAACACGGAAAATTAGTGATTTTGCCAACCAATTGAGGATGTGAGGGCATGTGAAAACAAACATAAGATTTAACATGATCATCGCCATTTTTAATAGCTAAACCATCTATAAATGGGCCATGTTCCATGGCTATGTTACATAACCAGAGGGTAATGAACGTCATATAGCAGCATGATATCATGAATTTATCTTCTCAAATTTTAGCATCATGTAATGAACAGTAATGAACGTCATAAATGTTGTTTACTCAATTTTTACTCTGAAACCATGGCGATAAACTCTAGTACATAAACTGTCACAAACATGGCTACGAAAAATCACAAGAAATCATCAATCTCTGGATGATTTACAATACCTTTTCAAATGAGTGGATGCTCCCTTTGCCACGTTGAATTTTAGCAGAAGAAATCCGAAAAAAAGGATCAAACGCAGGCCAGTCACATCGGAGAGGAAACCAGCAAGTTTCTTGTCGGTTTTCTTCTTCTCCTTCAGGGTTTGCTGGCTTGTTTTGCATGTCTCGCCTCTACAAACGAAACAGGAAAAAACCAAGTCTGCCAATATAATCTGGTACCAACATGTACCAACAAAAAAACACACACAGATCAATGACTTTCAGTTCTTAAATCATGAGTCCTGGTAATCCCCATCCCCATTTGCAAAAGGTCCCCATGTATACAACTGATTTCAAACATATAATCTGGTAAAGCCAATGGGAAACCATGGCCAGTTTTCAGTTTACATCCCAAATTTACTTTAACCATTTGAGGGGTATCAATAACCATACTCAAAAAGGATCAAAGAAGGGGTTCGTTATTCTATTACCAAAATTTTGGACTTGGGCTCAACAGTAAAAAAAATAAATGGTCAAAATCGATATTCCCAAATTTTGAAATGAGTACGCTCATCCACAACTTACCAAAATACAATAAATTGAACATGAATGATCATCATTGCCAGTGCCAGTATGATAGGGAGTTATATCCGACATGTTGCCGTTGAAATCTTCTTTTCGTTGTTTCTTTTTGGATCATCTCCCTATTTTTGGGTCGCTACTAGTAGTACCCAACACAACTGCTCCAAATGTGAAATAATATTTTATTGAGCAACACTTATCCCAAAAATATCATCCAGTTCTACTGTTTCCAAATATATCCAAATAATATTGTGTATATATAAATGTATATGATTATTAATTATTAATTATCCAACATTCTATGATATTGTATCTTGCTATCTTACATTATATGAACCTTGGCTCGGCGCCACGGCGCCTTGGCTAAGGCCTGGTTCACCCGTTGCAGCTCCAACTGAATGGACTTGTCGTCCGGAACATATTCCAGCGCTTTTTTCAGGTCCTTCAGAGCTTCATCCAACTTCTCAAAACCATCCTTGGGGAAAAACATGGCCGCTGGTGAATGGTCTTCTTTTGACATGTTATTGGAAGAATTTTAGGTTGTTTTATGATGTTTTATGGAAACAGTCTTGTGGATATGTATCTCATCGACATATGTCATGTCGCCATCAAAACGGGACGGGAGGCTGGCCAAGTAGTACCAAACAAGTCTTACCATGCCGGAATCAGCAATTATGTCGGACCCAAAGAGCAACAAATATGCAGAATCCAATGATGGGTGTATGTAGCAATATGGCACCTCTAAATTCATTGATTGATCGGTCAATCTTATCACCATTAAGAAGTTTCCCTGTTGAAATAGCCGTGTGAGGGCGGTCCCAAACCACGGTAAGGAGAAAGAAAAACGCAACCACGACAAGGAAATCGAAAAACCACGGCAAGGCGGCGCTTTGCTTGGCCGGAAAAAGCTGGAAGCCAGGAACAAAGGCGGCCCTTTGCTTGGCCGGAAATAGCTGGAAGCCGGGAACACAGGAGGCAACCCTTTGCTTGGCGGGAGGTAGCTGGAAGCCAGGAACAAAGGCGGAGGTAGCTGGAAGCTAAAAAAAAGGCGGCCTATTGCTTGGCCGGAGGTAGCTGGAAGCTAGGAACAAAGGCGGCCCTTTGCTTGGCCAAAGGTAGCTGGGAAGCTAGGAACAAAGGCAGCCCTTCGCTTGGCCAAAGGTAGCTGGAAGCCAGGAACACACGAACCCTTTGCTTGGCCAGAAATAGCTAGAAGCCAGGAACACAGGAGGCAACCCTTTGCTTGGCCGGAGGTAGCTGGAAGCTAGGAACAAAGGAGACAAACCTTTGCTTGGCCGGAAATAGCTGAAAGTCAGGAACAAAGGAGGCAACCCTTTGCTTGGCCGGAAATAGCTGGAAGTCAGGAACAAAGGCTGCTGCGTCTTGCAGGTGGCTTTCGTCTGGCACAGCTCGGGTCCAAGCACGCTGCCGCAGCATTAAAACACCATTGAAGGACGGATCGGGCCCGCGGCCGCCAGCCCAGTTGTTTTCTGAACGCTTAGAAACTAGCTGGAAGCTAGGAACAAAGGAGGCAACGCTTTGCTTGGCCGGAAATAGCTGGAAGCCAGGAACACAGGAGGCAACCCTTTGCTTGGCCGGAAATAGCTAGAAGCCAGGAACACAGGAGGCAACCCTTTGCTTGGCCGGAAATAGCTGGAAGCCAGGAACACAGGAGGCAACCCTTTGCTTGGCCGGAGGTAGCTGGAAGCCAGGAACAAAGGCGGCCCCTTTAAAAGCTCAGAGGGGCGCCTTTGTTGGTCTGAAGCTGAGTTGATGAGAGACTCAATAGAAATAAAGGTGGCCCTTTATTTGAACAAAGGGAGTACCTTTACCTCCTACCTTGTCGTGGTTACATTTTTTCTTTGTCGTGGCTATGGCCCAAGTCTTATCATAGTTGTTTTTTCCCTCATCGTCGTTAGGACCGCCGTGGTCGTAAACTGTGGCTGAATTGAACACTCTTTTCAAACACACACACCCAAAGATCATATTGTTAGTTAAGATATCCCATTGTGTGTGTGTGCCCCTTTTGGTCCCAAACAGCTACTATATATATATATATACATATATATATATATTCTATACAGTAGTATGCCTCCTTTATCATCCTTCTAGTTCCAAATTTGCCCTTGATATGGGAATCCAAGCTTCTTTCGGAGATTGCGTGTGTAGGTATACATCTTAAGTAATTATATTATATACCCTCTGGTTATTTGACATAGCCATGGAAAATGGCCCATTTTTGGATGGTTTACCTATTAAACATTGTGATGTTCCATGGCTATGTTAAATAACCAGATGGTATATATATATAATATATGTATATACATCGGCGTGCGGGGTCCCATGTAGCTTGAAGCCGAGACACTGCAAATTCAATGGTCACTTGCCTCCTTTTAACAAACAGGGCCGTTAAATACATGTATTCCCATGGTAGCTTTTTTGATGCTTATATCATCTTATAATCCCCATGAAATATTCACCTTTAATACTTCGCATATGTTCATTTGCAAACAAAATACCATCTTATATCATCTTATATCCTCAAGACATATTCCATATTATTCCATACTTCACATGTTCTTTCGCAATTTAGAAGGGAAATGTCTTGATTTGTTTGGCTCCAGTAGCATATAAATCATCAATTTTCATGCATTTCATTGCACCATTGGTGCCAACTTTCGATGTACCCAGCATCTTTCTGAGCTAACGCTCTCCGAAAAAGGGCTTTCGCCTTCTTTTCCGGCGGCAAGACGTTCTCCTTTGGATCCGCGGGATCTTTGTCTCCCTGGATGGCGCGTGTGGCGGTGTTCACGGAGTGCTGCCACTGCTTCAATTTCAGAAAGCATAGGGACCTGGGAAGCTGGTTCTGGATCTGAAAAAAGCACATGGCACAAGTTTTTACGCAGTAAATCATCATTTTTATCATCTATAGCTATCATTTTATCCATAGTTTCCTGTGAATGATCATATATAGATTTCAATTATCATCGATACTTTTTCCAGCTTCCATAGCTATCAACTAGAAATCAAGCAATCCAGTCATTCAACATGCTGGCCGAAGTTTGGTGGTGGGCAAGCATGCTTGAAGTCAATCCCAATGATTCCGGTAATTTAACTGAGGGAACATTTTGATATAATATATATATATATTATGTATATAATAGACGCTTAAAGAAAGTTAAAGCATGCAATTCAGATATCAGCACAGAAAACCATCAGAAAACGATGTTCCAACCTGCTATCCCAGTGACAGGTTCAGGTACGCCGCAGCACGCAGTGTCCGCACACTATCCCGTCCCTCCTCCGTCCACTGCACGTCCGTTTCGTTTTCAAGCGCACGCGACTGCATGATCATCTCGGAGTAGCGCGCAATGGCCTCTTCATACTTGCCGTCTTGAACCAACTTGTTCCCTGCCAGTGTGATGAAAGCGTTGTTTTTTTCTATAATTGTTGCTTGGGGATTTGTCAAAGAACGATAGGTATTTGATGGGATATGAAATTACTTGGCTTTGTCTGAAAATTGTGGACAAACCCACCGTCAATGCAAACCGCATTTTGATGGGTGGACAGCACAAAATTTTTACTTTAGCAAGTGGAGTGATGGGGTTTTTCCCTGTACTCAATTGTTGCCCCACAAATCATGACCAAATCGAGCACAGAACTTCAGAAAGAAGGGCAGCATGATACATTTAACTATATCTTCGAGGATAAATGCGAAAAACAATTCCCGATGGTTTTTTCATGATGCCAATCTTACGAATTTGTTGTAAACCACATCTTTAGGCTCAGTTCCAACAAAACAACTGATTTTGTTTGCCCCGTAGCCTTTCTCGCGGTTTTCTGTACAAAGATGGAAAATGGGATCCTTCTCCACGGGATGTGGCCCACCCTTGAAGTCATGGGCAGTCAAATCGCCATTAGGACCCAAAGGCGTGAGCTGAAAGCCCACTTGGTAACCCCCAGCCGAGCCAGTCATAAGTCTTAAAAAGAGACCAGGCGATCAGGGGCTTTTCACATCAAAACTGAGACACCAAACAGCTGCGGACGGCTGCGGACTGGAAGAAACGAAGCGATGGTAGGAAAACTCGCTGTGTTCCGATCAGACCAAGATATTATATATAATTATTGATAATTACATCTGATTTAATTATATCTATCATATCCACTGCCTGACAGGGCTAGCAGAATTCCCTGGTTGGGTCATTGGGGAGTGCTCTTGGATGAAAGTCAAAAGCATTAAAACCATCTACATGACGAAATCTTGTTTGAAAATGTAGCCAAAGATTCCATACCGTCAAAATCGCCTGTCATTGAGATCGTGATAGAACAAGTCCCGTCAACTGTGAGATCTTTTTGCCAACAAAGCACCACTTATTTGTCCCAAATGCTACCTATTAAACAGCTTGGTATTTAACGCCATTCCCTATTGAAGCATGTCAAACGTGAATACAATTTGAACCACGATCGCTGTGGGCTATAATTTCAATGACAACAACCAGATAATACCAATTTGAATATCATGGGTTTATATCATTTTATATGCCAAAAATTATAACAAGACCCATATAGCAACAATACTTATCCCCAATATATCCCCAATAGTACCTTCAAAGGGTCGGTTTATTGTTGGGTTTACCTCATCAGTCGAGGTGGCCATATGAAAGTTAAGCATCAGGCCAGGTAACAAACATGTAAAAATCTCACGGCTAGGTAGCAATGATCCCTGGCAGTTGCGAATGGCCCTCATGTACTAGCCGTCACTAACCTTTTGATGCTAAACATTGCTAAACTAAACTGGTAGACAATGCATGACAATGCCATCTGCCAAGCAGTTACACATAGATTCACCCCACACCATTGGAATATCACTGGGACAATGAAGCTGTTTGCCTCGGAGATGATTGCAGCCTTGACCATCTCCCAGTGACGACCGTGAGGTCATGATCAAAGCCAGCCAGATCGGCAAACAAATCGCCAAGCCTTCACCAGTGCCATTCACCAAGACTTAGTAACTGAGCCAAGAATATCCCTATCCTATCCCATCATACTGACTGGTCAATAACGTCAATAGCTATCCCCAAAATGTGTCAGATCCTGAAGAAACCGGGTAGTACACAACACAAAATAGTACCTTGGTTCAATTGGTTCAACCATCATCAAGTATAGTGGGTTGGTCCACGTGAAACCTTTTTGTTTGATGGTTCAATATCTTCAATCCCCTATTGATGGTTATACCCTCTGGTAAACAGCCATATAGCTATGGAAAGATCCACCATTTTTCATGGGAAAATCCACTATTTCTATGGCCATTTTCAATAGCTTTTTGTATGTTTACCAGAGGGTAAACCTCCATTTTCCTATGGTTTTCCTATGGTTTTCCTATGGTTTTCTTATTAAGGTATCTGAACATTACCAGGCCGGGTATAACTTGTACGCTTCACATGGTGCTACCATTGGGCCACTGCCACTCCGGATTGTTCCCACGGATTTTCCCACCTGAGCGGCGTGGCCCTCTGCAGGCTGCATCGCTACATCTCTCAAACGGAACACGGGCAACCTGGGTATCGCGGTATTCGCCGCGCCGCGAGAAAAGGCGACAAGCTCTGGGAAAAAGGGTGAAAAAACTGGGTTCCAAGAGCCAGTTCTCGTCTCAAGTTTAATTATATCTCAAGTTGTGTTATTGAAATCCAAGCATGGCTATCCTATGCTATTAGATTTCTGATTGAAAACACCATGAAACATACATAGCCCTGTTTTGAGGCGATGGCATCGTTCTCTCTCTTCGGGCCGTGAACTCTGGGGACGGAAAAAGGGCGTGGAAACAATGTGGGGCTGTAGGTAAATATACCAGCACCATGGTTCGCATATGGGTACCCTCCAGTAAATTAACATAGACCCTGGCAGATAGGGGTTGGAAGATTAGTTTCCACTAAAAATTGGTGATTTTCAGGGTCTATGTTAACTTACCAGAGGGTAATTATTATAGAAGCAGGGTATCTTGACTGGCACTTCACATGTTAATCACATGGAATTAATCATCCCAACATATTGATGAAGAGTAACAAACGATGAAACACTATGCCAACACTTAGTACGCAACATTTCCCATCAGTACAAATGAGATGAATAAAGACGACAAGAGAAAACCATTTACAGTAAAACAACATATAATATCTAATTATATCGTTGGTTACCATGTATGTATAATATATATATATACATATATATATATATATATCACTAAGATCCATGAATCATATCCCATGAAATGTTATCACTAAGATCCATGAATCATATCCCATGAAATGTTCAATGATTTCCCCCATTTTTTCCTCATATCAAAGCCAATTCTTGGACGGCCCCGAACGCTGGAAACATTTAGTCCCCCAGCACTTCGTCGAACATTGGCGGCGCCTCATATCAATGGCCAGGAGCTGATCATGAGGCATCTCACCAACATTGGTTGAAAAGGAGGAAACACAGGGGTTGGTAACTGTCCCATATTGGGAATATTGGACATCACCTGAAAAAGTAGCCATTATAGACCATATACCTAATGGTTGGGTGATGTTCAATGGGGACATTTAATGACCCATGAAACAAACAGAACTTTTCTCGGAACCACACCAAAAGACAAGAAGGATTCGATTTAGCACTAAAAAAAATCTGGGATTTTGCCAACTTCTAGCTTTTTGGGGGTTACTATCACTGACGTGGGAAAGCAAACATAACAGAAAAGTGTTATAATAAATATACATATATATATATATATGATACAATATATGGAAAATATATGAGGACAAATTGGATAGAATGGAGGTTGGGGCCATCATACACATTACTTGAAATGGTGGTCGAATAGCGGTTCTTTAACTGTTAGGAATTTCATGGATGTTAAATATATGGAAAAATAAAATTCATGTTCCAAACCACCAACCAGTATGTATATATATATATATGAAAAATATGAGTTCGTCAGTTGGGATGATGAAATTCTTTGTTCCATTGATGTTTCATGAAAATCAGTGGGCTGTTGATTTTTGGGGACATCCTCGTGGGTATCATCTCAGCATCGATGGGAATCCTCCTGGGTAAATGTGGTCCTGGTTGGTGGTTGACCTACCCCTCTGAAAAATATGAGTTCGTCAGATGGGATGATGACATTCCCAAGATATGGAAAGTCATAAAATTCATGTTCCAGTCACCACCGATCAGGTTCTTATTGATGGCGGGAAAAGAATCTGCAGGTCGCTCTTGAGTGTGATCTTAATCAATCTTTGGAATGGAATGGCCTTGACCCTAAGGAATTCTGACGAGATGTACTGGAGGTCTTGTTGTACCAATACATTCAACCGGAATGAAACAATATTGCAAGAGATAAATTGCATTATATCAAGATGTAGGGATATAATATTCATCCTTGATTATCCCTATTATTCCTTAAATTCCATAAATATCTGTTAGATGTAGGGATAGTCCGATAGATTCTATCTGGTGCATCTTTTTCCACATTCCTACGAGGTGGGCTTCCCCCCTTTCCGTCATCTCATGAGCTCGTTCATAAACCCCATGGATACATATGAATAATATAGTTATATCCTCCACGCGGGGGTGCAGTTGGGGGTATTAAAGGCTATAACTATGGTAATGTAACTGCCATGACTAGGGATATGGGGGGCCCTATGGTCAAAGATTACACTTTTTGGCGGAACTGCAACCTATGGTCAAACCTCAGTTAAGTATCCAAGTACCTTTTGGTAAATTCACATAGCGAACTGGAAAACCATTGCTTAATATAATAATAGCTAAGCTAAACCATCTCATTTTTATCACCGAATCTGCAGTATACATGGTCCATGACTTCCATAATCGTCCATAGAAATGTAACAAATAACCAAAGGCTAATTATACCTTGTAATATGTTATACTTACATATTATTTACCACAGAACTTGGTTTCTTTCACAGAAAAAACACGAATCGCTGCCTCTGCCTTCGCCAATGCACCTGCCATGAGGGCTTCACCGCAGCAAAAATTGGAATTCGACGGATTTTACCCTCTGGTAATGACTGTTACATATAGCTATTGAAAATGGCACATATAGAAATCGTTGATTTATATACCAATATACCTATTAAAAATTGTGATTTCCATAGCAAAGTGTTAGTTTATCAAAAAGTATCGACAAAGCAAGGATGTATGAGAATGAGAATCGCAATTGATACATGCAGTTTTTTTTGATTCTACAATAACAAATCGATACAAAGCGGAACCTGGCGGTGTCCACTAATGATATATGTGGCAACCCCCCAATAGAGCCAAGCAATTTATCACTGAATTCGGCTAGAACTGACCCAATACTTGGGGCTGCCCACTGATAAGTGGAGTCCCACGATTTTTTGTGGGTCATATAACATCTGGTTGGTGGTTTTAACCAGCTTGAAAAATATGAGTTCGTCAATGGGAAGGATTATCCCATATATGGAATGGAATAAAAAAACTTTTGAAACCACCAACCAGACATTATGTAACCATAGTTGTTGGGGGCCCATATATCAACTTGTGGAAGTTTGAATCCCAATGAATCCCACGCCTTATAGCACAGTTATTGCAGTTATACCGTACCCATCAAAGTCAATCAGTAGGTTCTATTTCACCATAGTTGTAGGGCTCCCACATCCCAACTTATGCTGGTTGGGGGTTGACCTACCCCTCTGAAAAATATGAGTTCGTCAGTTGGGATGATGACATTCCCAATATATGGAAAAATAAAATTCAGGTTCCAAACCACCAACCAATATAATTATATCCTCCACTTGGGGGTGCACTTGGGGGTATTAAAGGCTATAACTATGGTACAATGTGGGGCCCCCAAGATAGCCAAGTTGGTTTATAACTCCAATAACTATGGTTTATGGAACTTATAACTATAGTATTCATGGGGTTTATAAACCAACAAACATCACTGGGGGGCCCCACATTGTAATAACTGCTCCCATATCCCAACTGATGAGATTGATTTCCATAGTTGTATCGTTGCCATCAAAGTCACCCCAACTGTACCCCGAAGGCGGCCTTGGTGCTCCTGGTATCCCTCCATCGCTGCGACCATGGGCTCGGATGCTGTCAGATGTCAGATGTAGAGAATCATGGGATAAGAATTGGAAATGTCATGGGAATATCATGGAAAATGCTGATTTAACCATTGAAAAGAGTAATTCCTCTGAATAATGTTAGTAAAACAATGTCATAAACCACCTATATATATATATATTTATATGGATGGATGGTTCCATACTTGATACCATCCATAACCATGGCTACAATTGGGGCTGGTGGATCCTATTGCTTTACTAACATCAACGCTTGTCAAGTTAGCCCTGGTCATCCTCATCATTCCTGGGCCATCAAGACATCTGGGTTGGTTTTAGGTTTCCCGAAATTCCAACGGATGAACAATCATCATTTTCCCATTGAAAGGCAATATATCTTTGGTGTAACAGTGTAACCCATTGTTTTTTGCATCATTTCTAGACATACCCTCCAAGTTTGGCGGTTTTGTTGGATAGTTGAGGGCAAAATCATGTCGGTTTCTGCTAAAGCTGTGGTGCACCTCTAGGTGAGCCATTCAGAATGGCAGCGGCTGGGCTCAACGAAGAGATGATGAGCCAGAGCCAACGTCCACCACGTGTCCGAACATCAAAAAACGCGCTGTTTTGTGGGACAAAAAACACATGTCCAGGATCAGGGCTTTCATCTTGCAACCCGCAGCTTAGCTACCTGTGCGTTGAATGTTACACCATCATCATCATCATCAACATCATCATCAACATCACCAACCCTAAACCTTAAAACCCTACCCTAAACTCCGTGACCATTCACTTGAAAATAACGCTTTACGGGGGTGGGGATTTGATGATTCCCTAGAAACTCTTTTGAAACATCGTTAAGATTCCCTTGAACCAATGTCCTTTGAATCCCTAAAAAAAATCTATGTGGGCGAAAAAATCATGGTTGTGCGCGTAATCATACTCTGGGATAACTATAATAACTATGGATAATTTTGACATAAAGATGGGGACATGGGACATTTTGACATATTTGGTAACTATTTGGTCGTCACTTCTCGCACGGTCGCACTTGGTGACTTGGTGACTTGGTAAATCCACGGGACACCGTATGGTACACCCAAATCATCCATGGCAACTGGAAGTTTCCGAAAAACATCGAGGATCTGAACATGGGAAATCAATGGAAATCAAAAAAAATATAAATGGTTGATAAATTCTGTAACGCGACGTTTGAAAACACGAAGGGTAAACCTTCCAAAATTAATCAATTCCGGGATTTGGTCTCAGGTGGATTTACTAGGTTCGATTGAGGAGAAAGGGCCAACCAGAGACTCAAAAAGATGTCGATGCATGGTTCCCAACAAAAACAATCCATAGTATACTTTCACTCAAACAACACAAAAACGCTTCAGCATTCTCGGCAAGGACCAGTATACCCAGGATCAAAATCGTTGGATGATCAATGTCGAAAATTAGCCCCAAAGAACAGGTTGAAGGAGGGGTTGCCGGGAGTTATAAGTTCGGTTACCCGATTCAACTGATGTATCCACGACACATCCTAATCATGTTAATCAGGGTAATTCTCACACCTGCCCCCTTCTCTCGCCCCACATTTTGGCCCGGCGTGTCCAGCGTTCCCATACCCAGGGAAGGCCCCAAGCACGTTCGTGGGTATGAGATAAGGCGCGATGCATCTCGCAATATCCTCGGACAAATCCATAGGAAGAATGCACTGGAGAATTATCGATTGTAAAGAATTGATGCTTCTTACATGTTTTTACCATTTGCTGGTAGTGGACTAATATAAGGGATTTTAGTAACGATAGAATATTTATGGTTTATATGTTACTTAATTATCTATGTATACATTTTATAAGTTTACCATTTATGTGTTTTTAACTGTCTTTATGTATATATACTGTACACAGTATGTACATAATTAATATGTGGCACAGCCATGAATCGAGGACTCACTACAGTAACATGGGGAAAATGTCGGAAAATTGAGGAGTTTGGAATCGCGCCTGTGGCTAGAAACTACCGAGGATTCATATCCATGAACCAAGCGTTCTTCTTGTGGTTTGCTCGATTTTGTAGCTATACCCTGACTTCATGTGTGTGAATTTGCCATTTCTGGTTAGTTCAATAGTTCAATCCCCATCTTTGCCACTTTTTCAGTCACATGTTACTTAGAACCAACAATCACATTCCCAGATGCTCCATGGTGCTGGTATATTTACCATCATTTACCTACAAAACTGGGTGATTTTAGAAGCACATGTTGATAAATATTCCAGCACCATGGTTCGCATATGGGATTTGATGTTTCTCCATTCACCATGCATCTGCTCGATGTTCGTCCCCTATTCCGGAACCAGTTTGTTTCGATGGTAGAATCCATACTTGGAGGATGAATCATGGTACCTACTAACTGGTTAGTACTAACCATAGCTATAAGCCATCTTTATATATTTTTATATTATCAATCATCCCTGGGCAAATGATGATAATTCATAATAATTCACTATCACTTCAGCATCCCTATTGGAGGAATCTTATTGGGAGAAGTCCATGATCATTCCTACCATCCTTACCACTATTCCAGGCTGAGGGAGAACAGTGAGGTCCTCATAAGAAATACCCACGGGATAAGCCACGGCGTTTTGGTTAACTGGTAAACGGTAAACGTCACCTAAACCGAAGTTCCCGATCCGTGGCATATGCCATCCATAAATGGGTTAAACATGGTGAAGTAACTATGGCTATTAAATGTTATTAAAAACATTTAACATCATTTAACCACATTAGTAAGTGGGCTGACCCTCCAAGTACAATACATGTTGTTTATATTAACCGCCATTTCTAACTGCCGTGTCATTCACTTCAAATTCACCCTGTTCCACGCAAGATGGTGCAAAAAAACTAGTGAGAATATGATAAACCCCACATTGAAACACGTGTAAATCAACTCAATTAACCATAAATCAAGAAAGATCAAGTATAAGTCCACATAATTCCCCCCCATTTTCTTAAGTCTCTTGTTCAGTCTCCCCTGATTGTGGAAAAATCCCTAAAAATCCCTCGTTTTTCAAACGTGTTCTGTTAAGGATTTCATTGGAGCACCGGCTTCGCTGGTGATCTCAAGGGCGCCCAAGGGTCTCTTCACGGAGACCTGCAAGGAGAGCGACACCGCTTCGTGAAAATCAGCACTGGGCCCATCGTATTCCACCAGGTGTGTGGCCAGTTGCCTGTGGCGTGGGTAAAATTATGATTAATGGTGATTAATAGTGATTAATAATGATTAGTAGTGATTAATAGTGATTAATAGTGATTAATAATGATTAGTAGTGATTAGTAGTGATTAATAGTGATTTATAGTGATTAATTCATAATGATTAAGTAATAGTGATTAATACTAGTGATCAATGTGGGCAAACCAATGTCATAAACCACCCATGACTGGGAATGGTTAGTTTATACCACCTATAAATGGTGATGACTGGAGGATGGTGCAGATGGCATTGTTTTAACCACATTATTGGCAGTATTATATGGTGTTGTCAATGTTGGGAAGAATGTGGGATTCTTGGTGGTTCCAAACTGTGGTTCATTGGGACTAAACCGTGTTCTAGACTGGAAATAATTCTTAGAGATGCTAAGCCTGTTTACAAATTTGGTCAGGTTATAAAAGCATGACTTTCTCTGTGAAACCGTTGGTTTACAAATCTGGTTGGTGGTTTCTGTTCGCGACAGGTTCACCCGGGTAATATTATCGGGGGCACTAGCACTGACAGTCCTGACACGTCTGCGGCCAGAAAAGCCAGGTACTAGTCCACACCTCAAACTCCTTGCGTTAGACACACAAAGTCCTCCACGGTCAGACAAGTGGTCCTGCGCTTTTAACTCTCTTTCCAAAGTCCTTCACGTTGGACTCACCGGTCTTCCGACCGATCTTTGAGCTTGGAAAAAGGGCTATGGTGAAATGCCCATTGATTGAAATGACAATTGCAAAGTCATGACATGAATGCTAAATAGGGAATATGCAATTCGCACACCCCCTGACTGTGTTTCGCTAGAGGCACAGTCACACGAAAAAAGCAAAATATATCTCACACCATCTGCACGACAGTGTTACATTCAAAGCTCAAGCCCTCTCTCAGATGTTCTTTTTCCGCTCTTCTTTTCCAAAATTTTTCACTTTGCATGTCATCGCACCTTTTTTCACTTTTCGCTTTCATTTGGCCTCGCACACCAATTACACGGCTGATACGCAATGGAATATCCATGCATTTTTTCGCAGTGAGTCACATCGGTGTGCTGGGGTCCATTCAATCCAGCTCCATACATGTCTCTCCCTCGAGGATGCCATCCGCGAAGTTGAGGAACACACTGCTCACAGATATCGGTGTGTCGCACCATCTGTGAATTTCTCAACCCATAGCAATCCTTTCGGAAGTGATATTTCTTTCCAAGGCCTGTAAAGTACAGGTCAATCGATGGGTCAGCACTGGAAGATGGATCCGTAGGGATCTGAGCACCAGTGCCAGTGGATGAGGAAGCTGCAGCTTTTGGCTCGGCTGCAGCATGATCGGTTCTGATCTGCGTCATCCCTGTTGATGTCGTTTCATTTGGCTTCCTTTCATCACTTTTCTTTCCTTTTGACTTTGATTGCAAAGCTTTTGGTGGCGGAGCAACTTCTTTCTTTTCTGCTGCCGCCTTGGGAATCACTGGTTCTTGGATTCCTGCAGAGGCTGTTTGATCTTCTGGTAGCGGAGCTTCCAGTTTTGAAGCTGGTTGGCCATAGGTGTTCCTCTGTCCGTCCTGTTTGGACGCAGAAGATTGGCCCATACTTTTGGCTCTTTTTACAGCCTTTGGTGTTTCTTCCTTTTCTTCTTTTAGTGGTGGGCCACTTCGCCTGGGGAGTTCGTCCCGAGATTGGTCTCCTCCACCAAATCCCAGAACCGTCTCACCCGGCGGGGAGGTTGGACAATCGGTCTGTGACGCTAGACCCGACGTCCTGGCACTCCCAGATGGTTGGCCGCTTCGCCTGGGGAGTTCGTCCCGAGATTGGTCTCCTCTACCAAATCCCAGAACCGTCTCACCCGGCAGGGAGGTTGGACCACCAGTCTGTGACGTCAGACCTGATGTCCTGGCACTCCCGAGCAACTGACTGCTTCCCCTGGGGAGTTCGTCCCGAGATTGGTCTCCTCCACCGAATCCCAGAACCGTCTCACCCGGGACGGAGGTTGGACCATCGGTCATCAGACCCGATGTCCTGGCACTCCGTTGAGCGAGTTCGCCGCGGGATCGATCTGATCCCACCCAATAGGTCAGGCAAGGTTATTTGGAGCAAAATAGGTAACTCTAAAAAAAATACCTTTTTGTAAGTAATTTTGGTCGATTTTTTTTAACTAATAGGTAAAAAAAATTACCTTGAAAGGTAATTATTATTAATTATTGATAACCTATTTCAAGGTAACTTTTAAGGGTTATTTTTTTTCACTTCGTTTTTACATATATTTATTATTTTCTTTTGTTATATGGTATGTGTCTGATGTTCTCTTGGGGTTACTATATGTATGGGTTTACTTCATGTATTTTGACAGGGTCTCATGTTTTTCCCTTGGCGCTTGGATTGGATCAAATGATTTGATCATGGGTAGTGTTTGTGTCACTGACAAAATTTATGAAACAACAGCATAGCAAAAATGAGGAAAAGTCAGAAAAGGCATGAAACAAGATTATGGCAATAATGAACCAGTCATACTTGGCAATGAAGCATTGTCCAAGCATGCATTCTGTCTTTGAAAGCTCAGTGAAGGCATCCTTCAAAGTATCATTGATTTTTGGTCTTTCTTGTCTCTACCCAGTCGCTCCTGAACCACTTTGGTTTCTTTGATGTCATGCTGCACACTTGCCCAGCTCAGTTTAACAGGAGCATCAGAAATCGCTTTTGGCAATGCTGAGGATGAAGTAACCACAGCTGGTGTAGAGGAAGCACTGCTACCACTACCACAACCACCACTACCACCACAACTAGCTCCAGTGCCAAACTGGCTCCAGGGCCTGCTCGACATGAATTGGCTCACCTGCGAACTCTCATCCTTGGTGAGGTTGGCTTGGCCACCATGCAAGACCATGGCAGGGCACAATGGCTGTGGCTATTGTCTTGACATGATAGTAACCATCTTTCTGATAGACATCACCTCGTCTTTCTGCATCATTCAAAGCTTGCTGGTTTCCCTGGATTTTGTCCACAACCTAAGCCAACCCAGTAATCTGAGATTTGCTGCAAATCTCAGAGTTCTTCTTGAAAACTTCGAACACTGGGTATTTCCAGGAGCAAACACAGACTCGCCTCTGGTGTTCAAGAGAATTCTTGGAGCCCTCTTCTTCATAGAGCTGCTGAAGATCTTCTGGCACCTGGCCACTTTTGATCATTCTGGCACATTTCCTTACCTTGGGGTAGCTTCGATGCTCATCATCAGCAACTGTTGCATCCTCCTCTTTAGGCTCCTCATCTTCTCCTTCTGCATGGTCATCAGGAACTGGCTCATCCCTGGTCTTCTTCCATCCTGCTGCCATCTCCTTGACAGTCTTCGCTTTGGCCTTGGCTTTCGCCTTCAGCTGCATCAGGTCTTGTCAGGATTTTCTTCATTGTGCTCTTGGCTTTTGCCTTTTGAGCTTTCATTGGCGAAGAAGTAACCCCAGGAGCTTTGCTGGCAGCAGCCTTGGCTTTACCTGCTGCCTTTGCCTTGACTTTAGATTTTGCTTTCACCTAGGCTTTGGCCTTTGCCTTTGGTGCTGCAGTATCTAAGAATCTAAGTCAGCTCATGGGGCAGTTTCTTCTGGAGAAGCCTGTTCTACAGATTCTGGTGCTGGTTCAGGTGGAGGCAACATGCAAGCATAGCATCAGGTGGACAAGCAGGCCTCTTCATGAGGTTACCAACAGGGGCGACAAGTGACAAGTAACTTCAATCTTGAGCACCAGTGTGCTACACAGATGGTATATGCAATTGGGGATGTCTCAAAATAGGGGGCCCCAAGCCCTTGTTTTTTAGTGTGCAAAACAGAGCTTTGGGGCCCTCCTATTTTGAGACATCCCTAAGTGTACACTTGATGTAAATTCCAGCCTTTCACCAAAAGTAACTCCATGAAGAACATGTTTTGCCCATGATGATGTCAGAAAAGCTTACAACAGAAATACCAAAGACCTTGTGAATGTATCAATCAACAAATGTGATATCTATACTTCACAATGGATGTTGCATGGCTTTGTCATTTTCATTGAACAAAACTTAAAAAAGTAGAGCTGGAGATGTCTCAAAACGTCTGAAAATTGGTTCCCGAAACCGAAATCTAACATGTTCAAAAACTGGTTCCACAATGGTACCTAGGAAAATGAAAGGTGCTTTAAGCCATCTTAAGGTACCTTTCATTTTTTGGAAAAATAAAACATTAAAGAAATAGAAATGGAGATGTCTCAAAATGTCTAGCTTTATTGCAATTTCAGTATTGTACATATCTTGTTTGTTTTGTTATTTATGTGCTGCTCTTGTCCTATGATTATTTTGATGAAACTCTAAGACGTAATGTGCCTAAATATCACTGTGTCTATGTATCTATATATCTTTATATATATATATTTAAATATATATATATAGGTATGCATTAATACACATGTATTCAGGTGGTGTGGTGTTATTAGTCATTAGTTGGCTTGGGGTTACAGTTTTGCAAACCACACCCATTGCATGCCAACCAACCCCATAAGGTACCTTGTAAAATGAAAGGTGCTTTAAGCCATCTTAAGGTACCTTTCATTTTTTGGAAAAATAAAACATTAAAGAAATAGAAATGGGAATGTCTCAAAAATGTCTAGTGCAAATATCTGATTATAGTTTCTGTATTGTACATGTGTTTTGTCTTTTCTTATTTATGTACGTTCACCTAATGTAATTGCTCTTGCCCTAAATTTTTTTGATGACACTTTAAGGCATAATGTGACATAATGTACCCAAATACTAATGTGGAGGTATATGTGTATTCATGTGGTGTGGGGTTATTATTTGGCTTGGGGTTACTGTTTGCAAACTAAACCCATTGCATGCCAACCAACCCTAGTAGGTACTTTGTAAAATAAAAAGGTGCTTTAAGCCCTCCCAAGGTACCTTTTCATTTTTGGGAAAAATAAAACAAATAAACATATAGATGTCTCAAAATGCCTAAGGCAAATGTTTGATTACAA